TATTCTTTATTGTTTTAGTCCATTTTTTATTTCAATCAGTTGTTAATTGGGACAAGAAATGGCTTGTGAATTTTAATGCCTCAAAAACTAAACGATTAGATTGGCTCCTAGGTGTCATCGTTTCTACTGTTAAAATAGCTAAATATTTTGTTCAAATAGTTTCTTTTCTAGCACTTCTCACCTGTGTAATTCTCTTCCTATATCCAACTTACCTGCCAACTACGATCTTTAAAAATATAAATGTAATTCCAATCATCAGTTTTCCTGACCTCTGTTATTCGACTGTCGTTTCCACTCACTAGGCACGGTAGAGTCATGGATGGATAGCGGCTCGGATTGAAATATCGGATAGCTGAGTTCGAATTCCAGTCAAATGCATAACATTCACTGATATCCTTGAATCTTCTTCTTCTCCCTACCCCCCAGCTTTGGGTAAATAGCAGCACAGACCGAGTTCTATAGCTTTGAATTGCAACTGGTCTACCGCAGAAAGAAATGGCAATCTACTGCTGGAAAAAATCTGCCTCGTCAGTCATGTATCGAAAGATACATGATCGCCTAAGCGTGTATCACGTATGGCATATGACTGACTGATATTCACTTACGTGCTAATATCCTTGGCATGAATCCTCCACTTCTCCCCACAGCTATGGCTAAATAGCAGGGCAGACAGGCTTCTATAGCCTTGGATATCAACTGGTCTACCAAAAAAAAAAAAGAAATGGCAACCTACTACGGAAAAAATCTGCCTCCTCAGTCATGTATCGAAAGATTGATAATCGCCTAAGCGTGTATTAATCATGGCACATAACTGACTGATATTCACTTACGGGTTAATACACCTGGTATTAATCCTACTCTTCTCTCTACAGCTATGGGCAAATAGTAGGACAGACCGTGTTCTATAGTCTTTGATGGAAACTCGTGTAACGCAGTAATCTGCGTTGTCAGTCATGTATCGAAAGCTACATGACCGCCTAAGAGTGTATCACTCATAGCACATAACTGATTGAACGTCTTCTTATTTTCTTCTACTTCTAGGAATCCCTTGCATTTTAGTGTCATTATCACCTAAATTGGGATAAAATCTTAAAAAGTTTGATATAATACACAATACCGAGGAAAATGCTTAGATAATCCTTATATTTGGATTTGCGTTTCTTTAGAAAGTTCTATAAATATTTATTCCTGACTCTATATTAGATACTGGCATGATATTGCTGGAAAAATGAGCATAGCGTGATAAAAACGGCCTTAAACTTGACGAAAAGAATTTTTTATTGCCTAAATGTTTATGTTATTATAAAGAGGAAAGATCAAAGTATTTTTTAATTATTTTTTTTCCATTTTTTAATCATTCCTAGTAAGTTCAAAATTGTCGTTTAAAATCATGTTTTTTTAGTCCGGAAATCGATCGTCAGCCATTTTTTTCAATTTTGTAAATAAAAGTTAATTTTTCCGTTTAAAATTTTATCAAAAATCAATTATACTTTTAAAATTTTATTTTAACAAAATTAAAAATTTTAAAGTTTATTTAATATATTTTAAAACACGCATTTTTTACTTTATGTATCCAAAAATGTATTTTAAAAGCAAGAAACCGCAGGTCTTGACAGCGGCGACGTGCAACTATTTGATGATTGATGCATTCAGAGTGTATTGACAGCTTACTGAAGGAAAAGGTTTCGTACGGAAGGAAAGAAGTGATTTAATTTAGCTTTTTATTGAACTAATTTATTTACCTCGTTATTTTTAAGGGAAATTTTTAAACAAAGACTGTTGAGAGTGAGATAAAATTTCATAAGAAAGGTACAGAAAATTAATTATGTACCTTTTCTTAATGAAAGTTTAAGTGTACATAATTTAATATACATTTATTACATTTTACGGTATTATTTGTATTTACACTCATTTTATTAATTTTGATATTTCATTTATGAAAAAATGTCATAACTGAGAAAATATAAAAATAAAACATATAAATTTCATAAGATAAGTACATAATACTTTAGGTACCCTTATTATCTGAAGTATTATACACTTTTTTCTCTTTTGCAATTTTTTTCAAATTTTAAAATCTTAATATGACTATTGAAAAGGCAATTTTTCTCATAATTACGTAATCATATACACTTTTTTTATTTTACTTATTCATAGCCTAAAAAGAACACAGGTCTAGAAATGCAATGCAATTAGTATCAGACTTGATCGTCACTTTAGTACAGACTTGATCGTCACTTTAGTACAGACTTGATCGTCACTTTAGTATCAGATTGATCGTCACTTTAGTATCAGACTTGATCGTCACTTTAGTACAGACTTGATCGTCATTTTAGTATCAGACTTGATCGTCACTTTAGTATCAGACTTGATCGTCACTTTAAACAAAAACATCAAAATTTCTTCAACACGTGTTTCGTACGAACAATGTATTGAAAAGGCTGTCAAACAGCGAACAACATTTATACAACGCAAACGACGTGACGAACCATTGGTTTTATGATGCTTCCGTTCTTTGATATATTCAAATTAAGTTATTTTATGGACACACAAAAAATAATTTAAAAAAAACATGTTATATTAGATTTTTTATATATTTGCAGATTGTAACCAGTTTTAGTTTATAATCTGTAATGATATATATCTAATTAATAACATAATTATCTACTTAATAACACCACTGACTAAACTGTACACCATTTTCTTTAATTCTAGAATATTTAAGAACTTTAATGTAAAAAAATAAAATAATTTAAGAAATAACAAATAATTGTTGTAAAAATTTATTTTTGATCGAAAACGTTTTTTGCTTTCAGTCAATGTTACCTATATTCATAAAAAAAACAAGTAAACGGAACTAAAAACTTTAAAAATTAAATAATATCTTTGTTTTATTGAGTTTTGTATTTTATAATTCAGAGCTGATTTTAAGGTAGAAATATGTCAACTAAAAAAAACAAAACATTATTTATGATTTACTTTCAAAGCCTTGTGCTTTTAACTCATTAACCACTAAAAACGTACAGATTTGAATTTCAAGAGTTTTCATAAAATAAATATAAAAAAATTACCATGACTTTAAAAAAATAAACATGTTTATAATAATTTCCATTATTTATGAATAGTTTCTGAAGGTTTAATTAAAATCCAACAATTATTTTTTATTTTTGCAAGATTTTCAAAATTAATGTCTGCCATAAAAAATGGACCAAAAATCCGCCATGTTATTTCGTAGTAGATTCGCTGATGAAGAGAAACAAGATTTTTCAATCAAAAGTTAGAATGCTCTAATAATGAGAGAAGTTTTTTTTTTAAAATACTTATAAAATACTTTCCTCTTAATAATAACATAAACATTTTGACGATAAAAGTTTGTTTTCATCAAGTTTGAAGCCGTTATTATCCTGCTATACTCATTTCCAGCAATCTCATGCCAGTATCTACTTTATATTTTAGAATATTTTTCGGAAAGATATTTACATTTATCCCAATAAGCAATTAATTGATATAAAACCAGTAAACGCTAAAAACTTTAATGACATAATTGTCCCATATTTGAATATAAACGTCTTGTATTAATTTTGTTCTCTTTTGCATCTTAACTGTTTACTAGCGTCTCTAGTTCATTTCCCGTTTGGTCTGTTCAACACATCTACAGAAGTCGAACTTTGAAATGTTAAGTGCAACACAAAATATAAACTTTTTTTGAGACAAATTACATATGAATAAGAGACAAACATGAAACATTGCTAAGATACAAGAGTCTCAATCGGTGAAAATGAAAAAAAATGTTGAAAGCCTGAAATATATTGGTTTTTGGTAAACAATGTTTTACAGTCACTTTGTAGAGTGAAAGAAATCTGCGTTAACTTAACATCTGACACTTTCAGCTGTACTTACAGCAGATTATCCAAGATTGAGAAAAAAATGTTTGGAAAAGGTATTGTGCCAATGGCATCAGACAAAGAACCATTTTCACAGTGTCACATTATCGCTAATCTGCTAAAAAACTTCTAAGATATTTAAAGATTCTATACTTGTTTGATTTTGACAGCTCCTCTGCTATTAAGGAAATATGAAGAAACTGAAATTCTGATGAATAAAATACTTGCCAAATTTAGGGTGCAGCAAAAGTAACACCCTTTTGATACCTTATCATCTGTCTAAGTAATTTCAACTGTCAGTTTCTAAGTATAAATTGTCTTTTGTATTTCCATTTACCTTAAACCTTCCTCGTTGCTCACATGCAGCTCCAGTGGTATTTCCCAGCATTCCCTACCATAAAGGAAGAGCGATATTACGTAACGTTTCAACAATTTTTGTTTGGTTTCTAACCTTTATTCTTGTTTGTTAACACTTGTGTAATTAAAATTTATTTATAGCTGATAGGCTTATAATGCGTCATCTGGAACATTTCATTAAAATTACTATTAAAATAACATACATGTGGCAGTTGATATTTTGGAATTTAGGGAAAAATAAATGAAATAATTATACGCTTTGATTTGAATTATTGTATTTGTGCAGCCTTCGTAGCCTAATCACGAAGTCTTATAATCCATATAGGCAGAGTTATATCCACGCCACTATGTTCAGTTTTTATACCCGACCCTATTGATTAATACCGATCGTAGAATGACTACCTGATATTGCGATAAAAACAGAATTAAAATTAGCGTGAAATATTTCTGATTTAGCATATTATAAGAATACATTGATTGACCGATTCGTTTTCTACAGTTTTTCAACCTTTTTCAGGTTATTTAAAGCTAGATCATATTTTTTTAGGTTCTAAGAATTATGTTTAAGATAATAATGGTTTAGAGGTACAACTCTTACTAATTAACACATAGCTGGGGGAGACGAGGTGGATTCATACTTTTCCTAAGGGTATTTGCTTTGGGCATAAGTAAATATAAGAAACTCAACTGGTATTGGAACACGGCTCTCCGATTGAGAATTCCGAGCCTTTATGCATCCCATCACCTGTAAATCCAAGGTTACAGCATCTAGTATTCCCAAGTGGTCATGCATCTTGGTACTGACCAAACTCGGGATTTGCTTAATTTCGATGATCTTACGGGAACCGATGTTTCAACGTGATGTGGGCGTAAGCCTGATAATAATAGACAAAGTGTCAAATAATACTTATTGATTGATTGTTTTTTTTATTTCTATGGTGGTTCAATCGATAGTGGTTTGGAACGAGAAATCGAAGAGCAGATTTGGAATTCCGATTGAATTTCATGATATAATCTTCGAGCAAACAACATTTGGAAAATGTATGAATCCAACACTTCTCTCCCAGACATGGGTTAAATATCAACGAAAAGCATATTATTCAGCTAACAAATTTACAATGACAATAATACCCGAACTGCGGTCGTCAACTCAGTTAACCAATATTTATACCATATAGAGTCGTGTATAAGTCGGTTTCATGTATTGAGCCACCACTGAATTTTTTACCTGGATTGTAACCCCTCTAGAAAAAAAAATACCTGTTTGTAGTGCAACCATTCACCGAAAATTCATGATTGTTAACACCTTGAAAAAATTACCTGTATATAGTCTGACCCTGCCTTTTTATGTTCCGAACTATATTAGAGGATATATGGTAATCGATATTGGCGCCTGTCATATCAATGTAAAACGGCATAAGAATTAAGAGAAAAATTTAAAAAAAAAACATCGGTTGAAGGAAAAATATTTGAAAAACATAATACAAATAGATTATGAACCAAAAGAGGAATTCGAATAATAATTAAAGATTAGATCAAATAATTCCCAAAGTGCGGCAGATGCCCCACCGCTGGGATATGATAATCTTTTAGTGGGACATGTGTAGGATATGCACCCTTCTTTCTGATCTAAAACAAATTGATTTTCCAACATGGGTGATGCAGACAATGCTAATGGATATTTCTAATGTTTTGATGCTGTATCAAGAAGAACCCTTGGAGATGCAAAATGGTGAGTCTGTTAAAACTTTATTCAATATAAAAGGAGTGATGGCATGGTTTTGTGATGAGACAATAACTAAACACCCAAATTATATTTTGTATTTCCATTTACCTTAAACCTTCCTTGTTGCTCACATTTACCTGAAACCTTCCTCGTTGCTCAATTTACCTTAAACCTTCCTCGTTGCTCACTTTACAATGACAATAATACCCGTTGTAAGAAATTTGTTGTTAACATTTCCATCTTGATATTTAGCTGAATGTGGCTTTAGGGCTGTAAATGATTTGTTATTGAAGAAAAGAAATCGAGTGGATATCACTAAACGAGGTGATGTAAGGCTTAAGCTGACTAAATTAGTGCCTAATATAAAATCTAACTGTAGATGGCATGACACACAAGGATCTCACTAACAGTCATTTTGTGATGAGCTCAGATTTCATTTTGCATTATTATTTCATGATTACTAAAATAATCAAAGTCTATTACAGAATAAGATTTCATTAAAATATTTTATATTTCTGCCTTTCAGTTCTCTATTATATGATTTGAAACTATATATATTTAACTTTTTTGTTTTTTTAATTTTTCCCTTTTTTGGACGGCATGGTCTTTGGAGGCTTGTTTATAGACCGATAGCCTTTTAAGCTTCCTTCACGCGAATTGCAGTAAAATTTTGAATATGTAAGAATTAAATATTACAGGGGTGGGGGCACCAGAATTTTAGAAATACCAAAGTGGGCCATGGCCCAAAATCAGTCGGGAACCACTGGATTAGATAATTCTATAGAAATGATGAGCGTTTTATGTATCCTAAACATTTACATAGAATTACCATTAATTTATATTTGTTTCTATACATATCCAATCGTGCATAACGACAAGAATTCATTTCAAAGATGACTTGAATTGAATGAGAAACATCCGAATCAAAGATGGCTATAGAAGTGTAAAGGCTCCTCAAAAAGAAATGTGAATAATGATAAACAGTTTCTACAAACAAAGAATTAAAAGAAATCACTCCCAAAGCAATTCTTAACTGATGTATTTGTTTGCAATAAAGGGAAAAAGGAATTGCAAAGAGCATATTTGCATAAACAATGGAGAAATTGACTAATGGACATACTTAAGTGATGAAATCTAAAACTTTTTATTAGAAGATAAAATATTTTCGTACAATGATTTGTTGTTATATGACTGTAAACCTACTCAATTATGCCTGACTCTGTATAATATTTACATATTAAATGGGTTCAATAAGTTTTATGATGCAAGGTGTCATATTAATTCCTATGAATCATATAAGCACTGTAACAATTGCTTTAACCAGGGAGCGGTAAATATATCTCCAACATTTTAAGGCTGACAAAATGACCACGGTATCGGCCATAATAGTTCACTGTTATTTAAACAACGGGCTCCCGTATTGTAGCATACCTACGGACGATAATAGGTATTATACGTGGTCTGCAGTCGGTCAATTTCCTTACCTGCAGGCAGAGAGGATACCTAGACGAGACTCTGTCGAAAGGGCAGAGTCTCGTCTCGGGAATCAGCTACTCGACCCCGTTTAATACGGTGTGTACGGGGAATTTTTGGCCGAGGCTATGAGCTCGGATACTTCACATTAAATTAGGCCGTTGGTAGATTCCTGAATTAATTAATTAATTAACTAATTAGGAGGAGACACGGTGGAGTAATGGATAGCGGCTTGGATTGAGCAATCGGAGAGCCGAGTTCGAATTCCAGTCGAATCCATTACATTCACTTTCGTGCTAATACCCTTGGGAAAGGTGTGAATCCTCTTCTTCTCCCTCCAGCTATGGGTAAATAGCAGGACAGACTGGGTTCTATAGCCTTGGATGGCAACTGGTCTAGGAGAAGGACAACTCTGAATTCAAAACCTGCGGAGGGTCGTTTGGGGACCTTGTGGCAATCGGCCCTTCAAAAAGTATGTATGGTCCAGCACGAAACCTTCGCCACTATAATCAAATCTCATGTGCTATACATGCGAGTTTGGGGAGCGTTTGTGAATTCCAAATACCCATGAAACTCCAATATTGGAGCTTGCCTCCGTCCAGAGAAGATCCCCAGACGCGGCTTATATAGAAGAGCAGAGTCACGTCTCTGGAAACAGCTACTCGACCCCGTCTTATACGGGGTCTACGGAGAATTTTTGGCCTAGCCTACGGACTTGAATACTCCACATTAAATTCGGCATCTGACCGCGTGGTTGGTAGATATCCTGCAATTGTAGATTCATTGTGGAATTCACTTGACTCACTTCTAGCAGTTGTCTACTTCTACGCGCCGCTGGCGAATCTTATACGTGTTGTTCGTGTCCTATGTATAACCGTTCATTGCCGACCATCGTGTTATTATTCTGTTTATTAACCTTGCCTAGGTTACAACACGTATATAGTTATTTGGCATTCTCCAAATGATGGCCTCTGTTCGCCATTCACTGTTGTAGACGATTTCTAAAGTACCCAGAGTAAAGCTGCTAGGTACAATTTGACTTTCAAATCTGTCGCATATAATCACTAAATTATGACATTCTCACTGACTTCCGTTGTTTAGAGCGTTGTTTGAAAGAAAATGTGTAGAATGCGGTAGTCACACTATACGACAGCGGTGCCATCAGTGTCCATGGCGGATGCAACAGTTTGTGGTGACAACAGCCATATTTCCCAAATCTCGCCCCCTCCTCTTCGACATTTTTCTCTTCAAAAAATCAAATTCCATTTGAAAGAAACAAGATCCAATTAAGCCGAGAAAATACAAGAGAATGCGACGAGGCAGCTACATGCTATTCCATAAAAGGAGTTTCTATCAATGGAAACGAAGCTGGATAAAGTGTATTACTTCAGAATGGAATTACTTCGAAGGAGATTAAATGTCGAATTGATATGTGCTGTAGTTTTATTTTTATGGTACGAATACTTTTTTTTATCAGACCTCGTATGTTTATTTATGTACATGTGTATCTTTGTTTTGTGGCTCTTGTCTTCTCGTTCAACAATACAGCAATATTGTAGCCACGTGCATATTCATAATGTTTAAAAGTTGTAATATTCATGTTTCTCTCAATAGAAATGTACATTTAAAATGGTTTGTCACCCCCCACACACATATATATATATATATATATATATATATATATATATATATATAAGACTGTGTCTGTTTACTTGTGCATCTGCTATGTATTTAGGTATTTTTGATAAAACCAATTTTACTCGACAGAATTTCTATTACATATTTATAAGTCTAAATATTGCTGCCACACCTGGTCTGGTGCTTCTGATATATATATATATATATATATATATATATATATATATATATATAGAGAGAGAGAGAGAGAGAGAGAGAGAGAGAGAAAGATTCTTGATAAAATGTGACGAAGAATCTGCAATGTTACGGGTCCTGACCAGTAATCTAGGCTTCAGTTACTTTGCTACCGCAGACGATGTACTTTCCTCTATGGCACCTCGACTTTACGAATTTAAGCGCAGTACTAGATTGGCGGCAAGGTCTCACCATTTTACAGTTGAAATTTTTAGATATAACTATAGGTTCTACCCTAATATTTTCTTCAATCCCTTGTTGGAAGTCTCTTCCGTTTTCTTTCTTTCCAGATAACTTTCCTCTTAAAAAAAATGTATTGTTAAATAGTTTGATTTGCGCTCTCTCATAAGGCCAATAACGGATGGGTGACAATTTCCACGATCACTTCACGCCAAAACACACGGCCTCCTTGCTTTCCAGACCTGAAACAAGGCCACCGTAACACTATAAACACTCTAAAGCCTGCCTTTCCTGGGTATGACGGTAAACTACATCCGCGTCCTGGGTATGATGATAAACTACATCCGGCAGCAAGGCTTCTGATCAGAAGGTTTTGAGGATCGTGGAACCACCTTTTAATTGCTGCTGTTCCCAGGCCCACCCTGACCCAGGGTGGTAGCACGCATTTAGGGCCCCTGCTATGGTCAAATAGCTAACCAGCCAAAAATTGTCACAACACTATGAAAGTGTAAAAATAGGTTTTAGTACCATCAATACGTTTTTGAAAAAAAAAAAGTATTATCACACCATTTACATTATTCGGACATCTTTGTCGCCATATTTATTACCAGCCGCCTAGGGTAAAATTACTAATGGGTGCAAAATTCTTTGTTATGTTATTTACATTTTTCGAATTATTGTCCCCATCTTTACTGCCATATTCACAACGTTTCGCCCGTTGTACGCTCCGAGCTCATTCATTCGAACTGAACTCTTTATATCTGGGGTAGATTTTTTTTAATTCCACGTACCACGGTTACGAATGTCGCAGTTATCTCTTCATGTTTTTGTTTACCACTGATATAGCCAGGTATTGAACTCACAACTCATTGTGTCAAGTCACTGGATCCAACGAACGCTTTTATCCACTGGGCAATGTGGACTTGATGCGTAAATCATTTTAGGGAATGGTTAGAATTCAATATGTTTAGAATTGATGCTATCTTGAGCTTGAGCTTGATCTTTTTCTTGCTGACTGTGGCTATAACCTTTTCAAGTTATTGAAAATGACGATGAACAGTTGTATGGTTTGAACAAAGCTTTATTGCCAATTCTTCAACTGATGGTGCAGTATTTTCTACAAGTGATGCCACAAGGAGCTCATCATCAAACACAACCGGATGTCTTGTTCGGTCTTCATCTTCAAGGCTGAAATTTCCACTTCTCGGTTTGTCAAACTATCTTCTGCAAGTTCTTTCATTCAGGCATTTTTCTCCATAAACTGAGTGAATATTTTGAGTTGCTTCGGCTGCAGTGTTTCCTTTTTTAAACTAAGAAAGAGTTATGTGCCTTAAATGCTTCTTCAATACTTCCATCCCTGAGGGGCTAATTTGAATAATTGGCCGAGGGGATGAGGCTGAAGAAGAAAGCATAAAGAGGAAAGGAGGCTGAGGGAAGAAGACAGAGGCTGAGGCCAATGAATAGTGGATAACAGAGGACTGATGGCAGAGGCCGAAGAACAGTGGATAACAGAGCAAGGCGGAGGCTGAGGAAGAAAGAATAACAGAGGGCTGAGGGCTGAGGCTGAAGAAGATAGTATAACAGATCGGGCAGAGGGCTGAGGCCAATGAATAGTGGATAACAGTGCAGGACTGATGGCAGAGGCCGAAGAACAGTGGATAAACAGAGCAAGGCGGAGGAAGAAAGAATAATGAGGAAAGGAGGCTGAGGAAGAAGACAGAATAACAGAGAGGCAGAGGGCTGAGGCTAATGAATAGTGGATAACTGAGGGACTGAAGGCCGAAGAACAGGACAACAGAGCAAGGCGGGAGTGCTGAGGAAGAAAAAGAATAATAGAGCTGAGGCCAAGAAGAAGTAGTGGGGCAGAGGGCAGAGGCTAACAATAGTGGATAACAGGACTGATGGCAGAGGCCAAGAACAGGGATAAGTGGAGTGTAAAGAAAGACAGAGCAAAGCGAGGGCTGAGGCTGCTAACAGACGGGGCAGGGGTTGAAGAATAGAATAACATGGCAGAGAAAGAACAGTGGATAACAGAGGGCGGAGGCTGAGGAAGAAAAAGAATAACAGAGCAAAACAGGCTGATCGAGATCGGGGGCAGAGGCTGAGGCCAATGAATAGTGGATAACAGTGCAGGACTGATGGCAGAGGCCGAAGAACAGTGGATAACAGAGCAAGGCGGAGTGCTGAGGAAGAAAGAATAACAGAGCAAAGCTGAGGGCTGAGGCTGAAAGAAGATAGCATAACAGATCGGGGCAGAGGCTGAGGCCAATGAATAGTGGATAACAGTGCAGGACTGATGGCAGAGGCCGAAGAACAGTGGATAACAGAGCAAGGCGGAGTGCTGAGGAAGAAAGAATAACAGAGGAAAGCTGAGGCTGAGGCTGAAGAAGACAGCATAACAGAGGGGCAGAGGGGCCCAATGAATAGGGATAACAGTGCAGGACTGATGGCAGAGGCCGAAGAACAGGATAACAGAGCAAGGCGGGAGTGTTGAGGAAGAAAGAATAATAGAGCAAAGGAGGGCTGAGGCTGAAGAAGATAGCGGGGCAGAGGGCAGAGGCCAATGAATAGTGGATAACAGTGCAGGACTGATGGCAGAGGCCGAAGAACAGTGGATAACAGAGCAAGGCAGGAGGCTGAGGAAGAAAGAATAACAGAGGAAAGCCAGCGAGGGCTGAGGCTGAAGAAGAAGACTAGGCAGAGGCCGAAGAACAGTATAACAGATCAGGGCAGGGCTGAGGCCAATGAATAGTGGATAACAGTGCAGGACTGATGGCAGAGGCCGAAGAACAGTGGATAACAGAGCAAGGCGGGAGTGCTGAGGAAGAAAGAATAACAGAGCAAAGCCGAGGGCTGAGGCTGAAGAAGATAGCATAACAGATCGGGGCAGAGGGGCTGAGGCCAATGAATAGTGGATAACAGTGCAGGACTGATGGCAGAGGCCGAAGAACAGTGGATAAGAGGCAGAGCAAAGAAAGACACAGAGAGTTGCTGAGGAAGAAAGAATAACAGAGGAAAGGCCAATGAGGGCTGAGAGGCTGAAGAAGATAACAGAGCAACAGATCTGAGGGAAAGAATAACAGAGGCTGAGAGAGGCAATGAATAGTGGATAACAGTGAAGGACTGATGGCAGAGGCCGAAGAACAGTGGATAACAGAGCAAGGCGGGAGTGCTGAGGAAGAAAGAATAACAGAGTAAAGCTGAGGGTTGAGGCTGAAGAAGATAGCATAACAGATCGGGGCAGAGGGCTGAGGCCAATGAATAGTGGATAACAGTGCAGGACTGATGGCAGAGGCCGAAGAACAGTGGATAACAGAGCAAGGCGGAGTGCTGAGGAAGAAAGAATAACAGAGCAAAGCTGAGGGGCTGAGGCTGAAGAAGATAGCATAACAGATCGGGGCAGAGGGCTGAGGCCAATGAATAGTGGATAACAGTGCAGGACTGATGGCAGAGGCCGAAGAACAGTGGATAACAGAGCAAGGCGGAGTGCTGAGGAAGAAAGAATAACAGAGGAAAGCCGAGGGCTGAGGCTGAAGAAGATAGCATAACAGATCGGGGCAGAGGGCAGAGGCCAATGAATAGTGGATAACAGTGCAGGACTGATGGCAGAGGCCGAAGAACAGTGGATAACAGAGCAAGGCGGAGTGCTGAGGAAGAAAGAATAACAGAGGAAAGCCGAGGGCTGAGGCTGAAGAAGATAGCATAACAGATCGGGGCAGAGGGCTGGAGGCCAATGAATAGTGGATAACAGTGTAGGACTGATGGCAGAGGCCGAAGAACAGTGGATAACAGAGCAAAGGCGGAGGCTGAGGAAGAAAAGAATAACAGAGGAAAGCAAGGGCTGAGGCTGAAGAAGATAGCAGGCAGATCAGGGGCAGAGGCTGAGGCCAATGAATGGTGGATAACAGTGCAGGGACTGATGGCAGAGGCCGAAGAACAGTGGATAACAGAGCAAGGCGGAGTGCTGAGGAAGAAAGAATAACAGAGCAAAGCGAGGTCTGAGGCTGAAGAAGATAGCATAACAGATCAGGGGCAGAGGGCTGAGGCCAATGAATAGTGGATAACAGTGCAGGACTGATGGCAGAGGCCGAAGAACAGTGGATAACAGAGCAAGGGCGGGAGTGCTGAGGAAGAAAGAATAACAGAGAAAGCTGAGGGCTGAGGCTGAAGAAGATAGCATAACAGATCGGGGCAGAGGGCTGAGGCCAATGAATAGTGGATAACAGTGCAGGACTGATGGCAGAGGCCGAAGAACAGTGGATAACAGAGCAAGGCGGAGGCTGAGGAAGAAAGAATAACAGAGCAAAGCCGAGGCTGAGGCTGAAGAAGAGTATAACAGACGGGGCAGAGGGCTGAGGCCAATGAATAGTGGATAACAGTGCAGGACTGATGGCAGAGGCCGAAGAACAGTGGATAACAGAGCAAGGAGTGCTGAGGAAGAAAGAATAATAGAGGAAAGCTGAGGGCTGAGGCTGAAGAAGATAGCATAAACAGATCGGGGCAGAGGGCTGAGGCCAATGAATAGTGGATAACAGTGCAGGACTGATGGCAGAGGCGAAGAACAGTGGATAACAGAGCAAGGCGGAGTGCTGAGGAAGAAAGAATAACAGAGGAAAGCTGAGGGCTGAGGCTGAAGAAGAGCAGCAACAGATCGGGGGCAGAGGCTGAGGCCAATGAATAGTGGATAACAGTGCAGGGCCGACTGATGGAGCAGAGGCCGAAGAACAGGCTGGATAACAGAGCAAGGGTTGAGGCGGAGTGGTGACTGATGGAAGAAAGAATACCAGAGCAGAGGAAAAAGCTGAGGGCTGAGGCTGAAGAAGATAGCATAACAGATCGGGGCAGAGGGCTGAGGCCAATGAATAGTGGATACAGTGCAGGACTGATGGCAGAGGCCGAAGAACAGTGGATAACAGAGCAAGGCGGAGTGCTGAGGAAGAAAGAATAACAGAGGAAAGTGGAGGGCTGAGGCTGAAGAAGATAGCATAACAGATCGGGGCAGAGGCTGAGGCCAATGAATAGTGGATAACAGTGCAGGACTGATGGCAGAGGCCGAAGAACAGTGGAGGCCAGAGCAAGGCGGGAGTTGAGGAAGAAAGAATAACAGAGTAAAGCAGAGGCTGAGGCTGAAGAAGATAGCATAACAGATCAGGGCAGAGGGCTGAGGCCAATGAATAGTGGATAACAGTGCAGGACTGATGGCAGAGGCCGAAGAACAGTGGATAACAGAGGCTGAGTGCTGAGGAAGAAAGAATAAAAGAGGAAAGCTGAGGGGCTGAGGCTGAAGAAGATAGTACAACAACAGATCGGGGCAGAGGGCTGAGGCCAATGAATAGTGGATAACAGTGCAGGACTGATGGCAGAGGCCGAAGAACAGTGGATAACAGAGACGGAGGCTGAGGAAGAAAGAATAACAGAGGAAAGCAGAGGGCTGAGGCTGAAGAAAGAATAACAGAGAAAGCCGAGGGCCGAAGAACAGTTGAGGCTGAAGAAAGAAGAAGGGCTGAGGCTATAACAGATCAGGGCAGAGGGGCTGAGGCCAATGAATAGTGGATAACAGTGCAGGGACTGATGGCAGAGGCCGAAGAACAGTGGATAACAGAGCAAGGCAGAGTGCTGAGGAAGAAAGAATAACAGAGCAAAGCTGAGGGCTGAGGTTGAAGAAGATAGCATAACAGATCGGGGCAGAGGGCTGAGGCCAATGAATAGTGGATAACAGTGCAGGACTGATGGCAGAGGCCGAAGAACAGTGGATAACAGAGCAAGGCGGAGTGCTGAGAAGAAAGAAAATAGAAAAAGGGGAGGCAGAAGAAAAGCGGGGCAGAGGGAGGGCTGAGGGATAACTGAAGAGGCCGGAAGAACAGTGGATAACAGATCAGGAGGAAGAGGAGCAAAGTTGAGGGCGAGGCTGGAAGAAGATGAATAGATGGAGGGCTAAGGCCAATGAATAGGGACTGTGCAGGACTGGCAGAGGCCGAAGAACAGGGATAACAGAGCAAGGGAGGCTGAGGAAGAAAGAAATAACAGAGGAAAGCTGAGGGGCTGAGGCTGAAGAAGATAGCATAACAGATCGGGGCAGAGGGTTGAGGCCAATGAATAGTGGATAACAGTGCAGGACTGATGGCAGAGGCGCGAAGAACAGTGGATAACAGGAGCAAGGGGAGTGCTGAGGAAGAAAGAATAACAGAGCAAAGCTGAGGGCTGAGGCTGAAGAAGATAGCAAGAAGAGGGCTGAGGCCAATGAATAGGATAACAGGGACTGATGGCAGGAACAGTGGATAATAGTGCTTTGGGAAGAAAGAATAACAGAGGAAAGCTGAGGGCTGAGGCTGAGAAGATAGCATAACAGACAGATGGGCAGAGGCCACGAATAGAACAGTGGAGCAGGCCGAAGAACAGGATGAGCAAGGCGGAGTGCTGAGGAAGAAAGAATAATAGAGGAAAGCTGAGGGCTGAGGCTGAAGAAGATAGCAGATCGGGGCAGAGGCTAGGCCAATGAATAGTGGGCAGTGCAGGGACTGATGGAGGCCGAAGAACAGTGGACAATAGAGCAAGGCGGAGTGCTGGAGGAAGAAAGAATAACAGAGCAAAGCTGAGGGCTGGAGGCTGAAGAAGATAGCATAACAGAGGGCAGAGGGGTTGGAGGCCAATGAATAGTGGATAACAGTGCAGGACTGATGGCAGAGGCTGAAGAACAGTGGATAACAGAGCAAGGAGTGCTGAAGAAAAGAATAATAGAGCAAAGCTGAGGGCTGAGGCTGAAGAAGATAGCATAACAGAGATCGGGGCAGAGGCTGAGGCCAATGAATAGTGGATAACAGTGCAGGACTGATGGCAGAGGCCGAAGAACAGTGGATAACAGAGCAAGGCGGAGTGCTGAGGAAGAAAGAATAACAGAGCAAAGCTGAGGGCTGAGGCTGAAGAAGATAGTATAACAGATTTCCAAAGAGGGGCTGAGGCCAATGAATAGTGGATAACAGTGTAGGACTGATGGCAGAGGGTCGAAGAACAGTGGATAAATAGAGCAAGGCGGGAGTGCTGAGGAAGAAAGAATAACAGAGCAAAGCGGGAGGTCTGAGGCTGAAGAAGATAGTATAACAGATCGGGGCAGAGGCTGAGCTAATGAATAGTGGATAACAGTGTAGGGGACTGATGGCAGAGGCCGAAGAACAGTGGATAACAGAGCAAGGCGGAGTGCTGAGGAAGAAAGAATAATAGAGGAAAGCCGAGGCTGGAGGCTGAAGAAGACAGCATAACAGATCGGGGGCAGAGGGCTGAGGCCAATGAATAGTGGATAACAGTGCAGGACTGATGGCAGAGGCCGAAGAACAGTGGATAACAGAGCAAGGCGGAGTGCTGAGGAAGAAAGAATAACAGAGTAGAGCGGAGGGCTGAGGCTGAAGAAGAGCAGCATAACAGATCGGGGCAGAGGGCTGAGGCCAATGAATAGTGGATAACAGTGCAGGACTGATGGCAGAGGCCGAAGAACAGTGGATAACAGAGCAAAGCGGAGGCTGAGGAAGAAAAGAATAACAGAGCAAAGCCGAGGGCTGAGGCTGAAGAAGATAGCATAACAGATCGGGGCAGAGGGCTGAGGCCATCAATGAATAGTGGATAACAGTGCAGGACTGATGGCAGAGGCCGAAGAACAGTGGATAACAGAGCAAGGCGGAGTGCTGAGGAAGAAAGAATAACAGAGTAGAGCGGAGGTCTGAGGCTGAAGAAGATAGCATAACAGATCGGGGCAGAGGGCTGAGGCCAATGAATAGTGGATAACAGTGCAGGACTGATGGCAGAGGCCGAAGAACAGTGGATAACAGAGCAAGGGGAGTGCTGAGGAAAGAAAGAATAACAGAGCAAAGCCGAGGGCTGAGGCTGAAGAAGATAGCATAACAGATCGGGGCAGAGGGGCTGAGGCTAATGAATAGGGATAACAGTGCAGGACTGATGGCAGAGGCCGAAGAACAGTGGATAACAGAGCAAGGCGGAGTGCTGAGGAAGAAAGAATAACAGAGCAAAGCGGAAGGCTGAGGCTGGCATAACAGATCGGGGCAGAGGCTGAGGCCAATGAATAGTGGATAACAGTGCAGGACTGATGGCAGAGGCCGAAGAACAGTGGATAACAGAGCAAGGCGGAGTGCTGAGGAAGAAAGAATAACAGAGCAAAGCTGAGGGCTGAGGCTGAAGAAGATAGCATAACAGATCGGGGCAGAGGGCTGAGGCCAATGAATAGTGGATAACAGTGCAGGACTGATGGCAGAGGCCGAAGAACAGTGGATAACAGAGCAAGGCGGAGTGCTGAGGAAGAAAGAATAACAGAGCAAAGCTGAGGGCTGAGGCTGAAGAAGATAGCATAACAGATCGGGGCAGAGGGCTGAGGCCAATGAATAGTGGATAACAGTGCAGGACTGATGGCAGAGGCCGAAGAACAGTGGATAACAGAGCAAGGCGGGAGGAAGAAAGAAGAAAAGAATAAGGCAGAGATAGCAACAGATCGAGGGGTGAGGCCAATGAAGAAGAAAAAGAAGGACTGATGGCAGGCCGAAGAACAGATCAGAGCAAGGCAGAGGGCTGAGGAAGAAAGAATAACAGAGTGGATAGGGCTGTGCAAGAAGATAGCATAACAGATGGGCAGAGGCCGAGGGCCAATGAATAGTGGATAACAGTGAGGACTGATGGCAGAGGAAGAAAACAGAAAGGCAGAGGAAGAAAGAATAATGAGGAAGAAGGCTGAAGAAGATAGCATTAGGGGCAGAGGGCTGAGAGGGCTGAGGGGAGGCCGAACAGTGGAAGAAGAGCAGTGCGGAACAGATCAGGGGCAGAGGGCTGAGGCCAATGAATGTATAACAGGTGGATAACAATAGTGCAGGGACTGATGGCAGAGGCCGAAGAACAGTGGATAACAGAGCAAGGCCGGAGTGCTGAGGAAGAAAGAATAACAGAGAGAGCGGAGGTCTGAGAAGATAGCATAACAGGGGGCAGAGGGCTGAGGCCAATGAATAGTGGATAACAGTGCAGGACTGATGGCAGAGGCCGAAGAACAGTGGATAACAGAGCAAGGCGGAGTGCTGAGGAAGAAAGAATAACAGAGGAAAGCCGAGGGCTGAGGCTGAAGAAGATAGCATAACAGATCGGGGCAGAGGGCTGAGGCCAATGAATAGTGGATAACAGTGCAGGACTGATGGCAGAGGCCGAAGAACAGTGGATAACAGAGCAAGGCGGAGTGCTGAGGAAGAAAGAATAACAGAGTAGAGCGGAGGTCTGAGGCTGAAGAAGATAGCATAACAGATCGGGGCAGAGGGCTGAGGCCAATGAATAGTGGATAACAGTGCAGGACTGATGGCAGAGGCCGAAGAACAGTGGATAACAGAGCAAGGCGGAGTGCTGAGGAAGAAAAGAATAACAGAGCAAAGCCGAGGGCTGAGGCTGAAGAAGATAGATAACAGATCGGGGGCAGAGGGCTGAGGCCAATGAATAGTGGATAACAGTGCAGGACTGATGGCAGAGGCCGGAAGAACAGTGGATAACAGAGCAAGGGGAGTGGTGAGGAAGAAAGAATAACAGAGTAGAGCGAGGTCTGAGGCTGAAGAAGACAGCATAACAGGATGGGGGGGCAGAGGGCTGAGGCCAATGAATAGTGGATAACAGTGCAGGACTGATGGCAGAGGCCTGAAGAACAGTGGATAACAGAGCAAGGGGGAGTGCTGAGGAAGAAAGAATAACAGAGCAAAGCAGAGGGCTGAGGCTGAAGAAGACAGCATAACAGATCGGGGCAGAGGGCTGAGGCCAATGAATGTGATAACAGTGCAGGACTGATGGCAGAGGCCGAAGAACAGTGGATAACAGAGCAAGGCGGAGGCTGAGGAAGAAAGAATAACAGAGGAAAGCAGAGGTCTGAGGCTGAAGAAGATAGCATAACAGATCGGGGCAGAGGGTTGAGGCCAATGAATAGTGGATAACAGTGCAGGACTGATGGCAGAGGCCGAAGAACAGTGGATAACAGAGCAAGGTGGAGGTGGGAGGAAGAAAGAATAGAGCAGGTTCGAGGAGAAGAAACAGATCACGAGGGGCTGGGCTGAGGCCAATGAATAGTGGATAACAGTGCAGGACTGATGGCAGAGGCCGAAGAACAGTGGATAACAGAGCAAGGCAGAGGAAGAAAAAATAACAGGAAAGCGAGGGCTGAGGCTGAAGAAGATAGCAATGAATGAATAGTGGATAACAGTGCAGGACTGATGGCAGAGGCCGAAGAACAGTGGATAACAGAGCAAGGCGGAGTGCTGAGGAAGAAAGAATAACAGAGTAGAGCGGAGGTCTGAGGCTGAAGAAGATAGCATAACAGATCGGGGCAGAGGGGCTGAGGCCAATGAATAGTGGATAACAGTGCAGGACTGATGGCAGAGGGGCGAAGAACAGTGGATAACAGAGCAAGGCGGGAGGCTGAGGAAGAAAGAATAACAGAGCAAAGCCGAGGGCTGAGGCTGAAGAAGATAGCATAACAGATTTGGGCAGAGGGCTGAGGCCAATGAATAGTGGATAACAGTGTAGGACTGATGGCAGAGGCCAAAGAACAGTGGATAACAGAGCAAGGGAGGTTGAGAAGAAAGAATAACAGAGCAAAGCGGAGGTCTGAGGCTGAAGAAGATAGTATAACAGATCGGGGCAGAGGGCTGAGGCTAATGAATAGTGGGATAACAGTGCAGGACTGATGGCAGAGGCCGAAGAACAGGATGGATAACAGAGCAAAGCGGAGGGCTGAGAAGAAAGAATAACAGAGCAAAGCTGAGGGGGATGAGGCCGAAGAAGATATACCAGAGCAACAGATCGGGGCAGAGGGCTGAGGCCAATGAATAGGCCAATGGATAACAGTGCAGGACTGATGGCAGAGGCCGAAGAACAGTGGATAACAGAGCAAGGTGGAGTGCTGAGGAAGAAAGAATAACAGAGCAAAGCAGAGGGCTGAGGCTAAGAAGATAGCAGACAACAGACGGGGCAGAGGCCGAGGCCAATAACAGAATAGTGGATAACAGTGCAGGACTGATGGCAGAGGCCGAAGAACAGTGGATAACAGAGCAAGGCGGAGGCTGAGGAAGAAAGAATAACAGAGTAAAGCGGAGGTCTGAGGCTGAAGAAGATAGCATAACAGATCAGGGCAGAGGGCTGAGGCCAATGAATGAGTGGATAACAGTGCAGGACTGATGGCAGAGGCCGAAGAACAGTGGATAACAGAGCAAGGCGGAGTGCTGAGGAAGAAAGAATAACAGAGCAAAGCCGAGGCTGAGGCTGAAGAAGATAGCATAACAGATCGGGGCAGAGGGCTGAGGCCAATGAATAGTGGATAACAGTGCAGGACTGATGGCAGAGGCCGAAGAACAGAGCAAGGCAGGTGGAGGAAGAAAAGAATAACAGAGGAAAGGAGGCTGAGGCTGAAGAAGAGTGATCAGGGCAGAGGAAGAAAGAATAGTGGATAGTGCAGGACTGAAAGCTGGAACAGTGGATAACAGGCAAGGCGGAGGCTGAAGAAGAATAATAGAGCAAAGCGAGGGGCTGAAGGCTGAAGAAGATAATAACAGATCGGGGCAGAGGCTGAGGCCAATGAATAGTGGATAACAGTGCAGGACTGATGGCAGAGGCCGAAGAACAGTGGATAACAGAGCAAGGCGGAGTGCTGAGGAAGAAAGAATAACAGAGCAAAGCTGAGGGGCTGAGGCTGAAGAAGATAGCATAACAGATCGGGGCAGAGGGCTGAGGCCAATGAATAGTGGATAACAGTGCAGGACTGATGGCAGAGGCCGAAGAACAGTGGATAACAGAGCAAGGCGGAGTGCTGGAGGAAGAAAGAATAACAGAGCAAAGCTGAGGCTGAGGCTGAAGAAGATAGCATAACAGATCGGGGCAGAGGCTGAGGCCAATGAATAGTGGATAACAGTGCAGGACTGATGGCAGAGGCCAAAGAACAGTGGATAACAGAGCAAGGCGGAGTGCTGAGGAAGAAAGAATAACAGAGCAAAGCGAGGGCTGAGGCTGAAGAAGATAGCATAACAGATCAGGGCAGAGGGCTGAGGCCAATGAATGGATAACAGTGCAGGACTGATGGCAGAGGCCGAAGAACAGTGGATAACTGATGGCGGAGTGCTGAGGAAGAAAGAATAACAGAGCAAAGAGACTGAGGCTGAAGAAGATAGTATAACAGATCAGGGGCAGAGGGCGAGGCCAATGAATAGTGGATAACAGTGCAGGACTGATGGCAGAGGCCGAAGAACAGTGGATAACAGAGCAAGGCAGGAGCTGAGGAAGAAAGAATAACAGAGCAAAGCGGAGCTGAGGCTGAAGAAGATAACAGATCGGGGCAGAGGGCTGAGGCCAATGAATAGTGGATAACAGTGCAGGACTGATGGCAGAGGCCGAAGAACAGTGGATAACAGAGCAAGGCGGAGTGCTGAGGAAGAAAGAATAACAGAGCAAAGCAGAGGCTGAGGCTGAAGAAGATAGGCATAACAGATCGGGGCAGAGGGAACAGTGAGGCCAATGAATAGTGGATAACAGTGCAGGACTGATGGCAGAGGCCGAAGAACAGTGGATAACAGAGCAAGGCGGAGTGCTGAGGAAGAAAGAATAACAGAGGAAGTGGGAGGGCTGAGGCTGAAGAAGATAGCATAACAGATCAGGGCAGAGGGTTGAGGCCAATGAATAGTGGATAACAGTGCAGGACTGATGGCAGAGGCCGAAGAACAGTGGATAACAGAGCAAGGTGGAGTGCTGAGGAAGAAAGAATAACAGAGCAAAGCAGAGGGCTGAGGCTGAAGAAGATAGTATAACAGATCGGGGCAGAGGGCTGAGGCCAATGAATAGTGGATAACAGTGCAGGACTGATGGCAGAGGCCGAAGAACAGTGGATAACAGAGCAAGGCGGAGTGCTGAGGAAGAAAGAATAACAGAGGAAAGCCGGAGGCTGAGGCTGAAGAAGACAGCATAACAGATCGGGGTAGAGGGCTGAGGCCAATGAATAGTGGATAACAGTGCAGGACTGGTGACCGAAGAACAGTGGCAGAGGGCGGAAGAACAGTGGATAACAGAGCAAGGCAGGGGCTGAGGCCAATGAATGGGAAGAAAGAATAACAGAGCAAAACAGCTAACAGAGGGCTGAGGCTGAGGAAGAAAGAATAACAGAGGAAAGGGGCAGAGGGCTGAGCATAACAGATCAGGGGGCAAGGCAGTGCAGGACTGATGGCAGAGGCCGAAGAACAGTGGATAATAGAGCAAGGGAGTGCTGAGGAAGAAAGAATAACAGAGCAGAGCAGAGGTCTGAGGCTGAAGAAGACAGCAAACAGATCGGGGCAGAGGGCTGAGGCCAATGAATAGTGGATAACAGTGCAGGACTGATGGCAGAGGCCGAAGAACAGTGGATAACAGAGCAAGGCGGAGTGGTTGAGGAAGAAAGAATAACAGAGCAAAGCGAGGGCTGAGGCTGAAGAAGATAGAAACAGATGGGGCAGAGGGCTGAGGCCAATGAATAGTGGGATAACAGTGCAGGACTGATGGCAGAGGCCGAAGAACAGAATAACAGAGCAAGGGGGAGTGCTGAGGAAGAAAGAATAATAGGTTTGGAGGGCTGAAGAAGAAGAGGCATAACAGATGGGGGCAGAGGGCTGAGGCCAATGAATAGTGGATAACAGTGTAGGACTGATGGCAGAGGCCGAAGAACAGTGGATAACAGAGCAAGGCGGAGGCTGAGGAAGAAAGAATAACAGAGGAAAGCTGAGGGTTGAGGCTGAAGAAGATAGCATAACAGATTGGGGCAGAGGGCTGAGGCCAATGAATAGTGGATAACAGTGACTGATGGCAGAGGCCGAAGAACAGTGGATAACAGAGCAAGGCGGGAGTGCTGAGGAAGAAAGAATAACAGAGAAAAGCGGAGGGCTGAGGCTGAAGAAGATAGCATAACAGATCGGGGCAGAGGGCAGAGGCCAATGAATAGTGGATAACAGTGCAGGACTGATGGCAGAGGCCGAAGAACAGTGGATAACAGAGCAAGGGGGAGTGCTGGAGGAAGAAAAATAACAGAGGAAAGCCGAGGGGCTGAGGCTGAAGAAGATAGCATAACAGACGGGGCAGAGGGGCTGAGGCCAATGAATAGTGGATAACAGTGCAGGACTGATGGCAGAGGCCGAAGAACAGTGATAACAGAGCAAAGGCGGAGTGCTGGAGGAAGAAAAGAATAATAGAGCAAAGGAGGGCTGGAGGCTGGAAGAAGATAGCATAGAGGGCAGAGCCAATGAACAGGGGTAACAGAGGACTGATGGCAGAGGCCAAGAACAGTGGACTGACAGAGCAAGGCGGAGGCTGAGGAAGAAAGGAATAAAAGAGGAAAAGCAGAGGCTAAAGATATATAAGCGGAGGCCTGAGGCCAGAATAGAATAACAGAAAGATGGCAGAGGGGCCGGGTAATCAGTGGAGGAACAGAGCTGAGGCTGAAGAAGAAAGAATAACAGAGCAAGCAGAGGCTGAGGGCTGGAGGCCAGATTGAAGAGGGTGGATAATAGTGTGCAGGACTGATGGCAGAGGCCGAACAGAACAGTGGGAAGAACAGAGCAAAGTGGGGTTGAGGAGGAAGAAAGAATAACAGAGGAAAGAGCGAGGGACTGATGGCAGAGGAAGAAGATATAAGGAGAAAGAATAACAGGGTGAGGGGCTGAGGCTAATGAAGAATAGTGGATAACAGACGAGGCAGGACTGGGCCAATGAATAGTGGAGAGATGGTGAAGAACAGTGGATAACAGAGCAAGGCGAGTGCTGAGGGAAGAAAGAATAACAGAGCAAAGCGAGGGCTGAGGCTGAAGAAGAGAGTATAACAGATCGGGGCAGAGGGCTGAGGCCAATGAATAGTGGGATACCAGTGCAGACTGATGGCAGGAGGGCCGAAGAACAGTGGATAACAGAGCAAGGCGGGAGTGCTGAGGAAGAAAGAAATAACAGAGGAAAGTTGAGGGCTGAGGCCAAAGAAGAGTAGCATAACAGATCGGGGCAGAGGGCTGAGGCCAATGAATAGTGGATAACAGTGCTGATGGCAGAGGCCGAAGAACAGTGGATGGCAAGAGTGCTGAAGAACAGTGAGGCTAAGAAGATAACAGAGGGGCAAGGGGAGGCCAATGAATAGTGGATAACAGTGCAGGACTGAAAGAACAGTGGAGCACAGAGTAAGGCGGGAGGCTGAGGCTGAAGAAAAGCTGAGGCTAAGAAGATAACAGACGGGGCAGAGGGCTGAGGCCAATGAATAGGGATAACAGTGCAAGACTGATGGCAGAGGCCGAAGAACAGTGGATAACAGAGCAAGGCGGAGTGTTGAGGAAGAAAGAATAACAGAGCAAAGCAGGGCTGAGGCTGAAAAGAGCATATAACAGATCGGGGCAGAGGGCTGAGGCTGAAATAGAAGATGTCAGAACAGTAGACAAATAAGAATAGGGGACAGAAGAAAGAATACCAGAGAAAGCTGGAGGGCTGAGGAAGAAGAAGAGCATACGAAAAGGGGGCAGGGCTGAGGCCACGAATAGCATAACAGTGCAGGACAGATGGGGGCAGAACAGACTGAAAAGAATACAGGCAGGAGGCTAGGCAGATTGGGCAGAGGGTTGGAGGCGAAGAACAGTGGATAACAGAGCAAGGCGGGAGGTGAGCAAGAGGAAGAAAGAATAAAAGAGCAAAGCTGAGGGGCTGAGGCTGAAGAAGACAGCATAACAGATCGGGGCAGAGGGTTGAGGCCAATGAATAGTGGATAACAGTGCAGGGACTGATGGCAGAGGCCAAGAACAGGATACAGAGCAAGGTGAGTGCTGAGGAAGAAAGAATAACAGAGCAAAGCAGAGGGCTGAGGCTGAAGAAGATAGCATAACAGACGGGGCAGAGGGCAGAGGCCAATGAATAAGAATACAGAGTAAAGGCAGAGGCCAGAACAGTGGATAACAGAGCAATAAGGAAGGAAGAAAGAATAACAGAGCAAAGGGGCTGAGGCTGAAGAAGATAGCATGAGGGGGCAGAGGGCTGAGGCCAATGAATAGTGGATAACAGTGCAGGACTGATGGCAGAGGCCGGGAAGAACAGGGGATACAGAGCAAGGCGGAGGGGTTGGTGAAGAAAGAATAAAGAGGAAAACAGAGGGTTGAAAGATCAGAGAGGCTGAGGCTACGGAATAGTGGAGAGTGCAGGACTGATGGCAAGGCAGAACGGGGTAGAGAGGGTGCTGAGGAAGAAAGAATAAAGAGGAAAAGCTGAGGGCTGATGAAGAAGACAGATGGCAGAGGCTGAGGCCAATGAATAGTGGATAACAGGACTGAGCCGGGAAAGGTGGGAGTGAGTGCTGAGAAGAAAGAATAACAGAGTAAAGCGAGGGTTGAGGCGAAGAAGACAGATAACAGGACGGGGCAGAGGGGTTGAGGCTAATGAATAGTGGGATAACAGTGCAGGACACTGATGGCAGAGGCTGAAAGAACAGAATGGATAACAGAGCAAGGTGGGAGGGCTGAGGAAGAAAGAATAACAGAACAGTGCAGAGGCCTGAGGCTGAAGAAGAAAGTACTCAGACAGAGCAAGGGGGCAGAGGGGCCAGATAATGTAGGCAGAAAGCTGAAGATGAATGGATAACAGAGTAGGACTAATGGCAGAGGCAGAAGAATAGTGGGTAACAGAGCCGAGCAGAAGGCTGCTGAGGAAGAAAGAAATAATATGGAAAGCAGAGGGTTGAGGCTAAAGAAGAATGAATAACAGATCGCCAGCAGAGGCTGGAGGCTGACGAATAAAGGATAACAGCAGGACAGATGGCAGAGGCCAAGAACATGGACAACAGACAGGGGAGGGTTGAGGCAATAAATACAGATAACAAGCTGTTTAGGGCTGGGGCTGAAGAAAGATAGTATAACAGAACTGGGCAGAGGGCTGAGGCTAAAAGATGAATGGATAACAGGGGTGACGGATGGCAGAGGCCGAAGAACAGTATACAGAGCAGGACTGATGAAAGAATAACAGAGAAAGTAGAGGGGTGAGGCTGAAGAAGATAGCATAACAGACAGGTCAGGGGCAGAGGCAGAATAGGGATACAGAGCAGGGACTGAGGCTGAAGAACAGGGATGATAACAGAGCAAGGCGGAGTGCTGAGAAGAAAGAATAACAGAGCAAAGCAGGGCTGAGGCTGAAGAAGAAAGCATAACAGAGGTCCACCAGAGGGCTGAGGCTGAAGAATAGTGGATAACAGTGCAGGACTGATGGCAGAGGCTGAAGAACAGTGGATAACAGAGCAAGGTGGGGTGCTGAGGAAGAAAGAATAACAGAGTAAAAGAGGGCCTGAGGCTGAAGAAAGATAGTATAACAGATGGCTGGGGGCAAGAGGGCAGAGGCAAGAACTGAATAGTGGATAACAGTGCAGGACTGATGGAAGAGGCCGAAGAACAAAAGTGGATAACAGAGCAAGACAAATTCTGCGATGAGGGAGGATAACAGAGCAAGCGGAGTGGGGAAAAGGATAACAGAGGGGACTGAGCAGAGGCAGGAAGAAGATGGCAGAAGATAGTATAAGAGAAAGAATAACAAGGGCAGAGGGTAAGAGGCCAATGAATAGTGGATAACAGTCTTCCAGGACTCTATGGCTCAGAAGGAATAACAGAAGAACAGAGTTGGAAAAGATAGAATACTAGAGCAGAGCTGGCTGAGGCTGAGGAAGAAAGAATAACAGAGGAAATCAGAGGGTTGAGGGAAGAAGAAAAGGCTGAAGAAGATAGAAGATAAAAGATAACAGGGGCAGAGGGCTGAGGAAGAAGGAAGAATAATAGTGGATAACAGTGGATGGACTGATGGCAGAGGCTAAAAGAAACAGTGGATAACAGATGCAAAAAATCGTGGAGAGGAGAAAAAGAATAACAGAGCAGGGGCAGGGCTGAGGCTGAAGAAGAATGCATAACAGACAAAGCAGGGGCAGAGGGAAGAAGATAGAGGCTAGAGGGCTGAGGCCAATGAATAGTGGATAACAGTGCAGGACTGATGGCAGAGGCCGGAACAGTGGATAACAGAGCAGGGAGTGCTGAGGAAGAAAGAATAACAGAGCAAAGCCGAGGGCTGAGGCTGGAAGGCTGAAGAAGATAACATAACAGAATCCAGGGCAGAGGGCTGAGGCCAATGAATAGTAGGATAACAGTGCAGGACTGATGGCAGAGGCCGAAGAACAGTGGATAACAGAGCAAGGGAGTGCTGAGGAAGAAAGAATAATGGGGAAAGCTGGGAGGGCTGAGGCTGAAGAAGATAGCAAACAGATCCAGGGCAGAGGCTGGGGCCAATGAATAGTGGATAACAGTGCAGGACTGATGGCAGAGGCCGAAGAACAGTGGATAACAGAGCAAGGCGGGGAGTGCTGAGGAAGAAAGAATAACAGAGTAAAGGCAGGGTCTGAAGGCTGAAGAAAGATAGCATAACAGATCAGGGGCAGAGGGCTGAGGCCAATGAATAGTGGATAACAGTGCAGGACTGATGGCAGAGGCCGAAGAACAGTGGATAACAGAGCAAGGCCCAGGTGCTGAGGAAGAAAGAATAACAGAGTAAAAGCCGAGGCTGAGGCTGAAGAAGATAGCATAACAGATCAGGGCAGAGGGTTGGGGCCAATGAATAGTGGATAACAGTGCAGGACTGATGGCAGAGGCGAAAGAACAGTGGATAACAGAGCAAGGCGGAGTGCTGAGGAAGAAAGAATAACAGAGTAGAAGCAGAGGTCTGAGGCCAATGAAGAAGAAGACTGACAGAAGGGGGATAACAGAGGCTGAGGAAATGAATAGTGGATAACAGAAGGCTGAGGCCAATGAATAGTGGATAACAGTGCAAGACTGATGCAGAGGCCGAAAAGAACAGTGGATAAAGCCGAGGCTGAGGCTGAAATAACTGAGCAAAGCCGAGGGCTGAGGCTGGGAAGAAGAAACAGATCAGGGCAGAGGGCTGGAGCCAATGAATAGTGGATAGTGCAGGACTGATGGCAGAGGCCGAAGAACAGTGGATAACAGAGCAAGGCAGAGTGCTGAAAGAAAGAAAGAATAGAGAGTAGAGGAGGAGGTCTGAGGGCTGAAGAAGATAGCATAACAGATCAGGGCAGAGGGCTGGGGCAATGAATAGTGGATAACAGTGCAGGACTGATGGCAGAGGTGGAAGAACAGTGGATAACAGAGCAAGGCGGGAGTGATCAGGGGCAGAGGGAAGAAAGAATAACAGAGCCGAAAACGATAACAGAGGCTGAGGTCTGAAAAAGAAGATAGCATAACAGATCCAGGGGGTAGAGGGCTGAGGCCAATGAATAGTGGATAACAGTGCAGGACTGATGGCAGAGGCCGAAGAAATGTGGATAAATAGAGCAAGGCGGAGTGCTGAGGAAGAAAGAATAACAGAGCAAAGCCGAGGGCTGAGGCTGAAGAAGATAGCATAACAGATCCAGGGCAGAGGGCTGAGGCCAATGAATAAAGTGGATAAAAGCAGGACTGATGGCAGAGGCCGAAGAACAGTGGATACAGAGCAAGGCGGAGTGCTGAGGAAGAAAGAATAACAGAGCAAAGGCGGAGGGCTGGGAGGCTGAAGAAGATAGTATAACAGATCAGGGCAGAGGCTGAGGCCAATGAATAGTGGATAACAGTGAGGACTGGATGGCAGAGGCCGAAGAACAGTGGATAACAGAGCAAAGCGGAGTGCTGAGGAAGAAAGAATAACAGAGCAAAGCCGAGGGGAGGTTGAAGAAGATAGCATAACAGATCGGGGCAGAGGGAGGAGGCTAATGAATAGTGGATAACAGTGCAGGACTGATGGCAGAGGCCGAAGAACAGTGGATAACAGAGCAAGGCGGAGGTTGAGGAAGAAAGAATAACAGGTAGAGCCGAGGTTACAGAGGCCTGAAGATGCATAACAGATCGGGGCAGAGGGCTGGAGGCCAATGAATGATGGATAACAGTGCAGGGACTGATGGCAGAGGCCGAAGAACAGTGGATAACAGAGCAAGGCGGAGTGCTGAGGAAGAAAGAATAACAGAGGAAAGCCGAGGGCTGAGGCTGAAGAAGATAGCATAACAGATCAGGGGCAGAGGCTGAGGCCAATGAATAGTGGATAACAGTGCAGGACTGATGGCAGAGGCCGAAGAACAGTGGATAACAGAGCAAGGCGGAGTGCTGAGGAAGAAAGAATAACAGAGCAAAGCCGAGGGCTGAGGCTGAAGAAGATAGCATAACAGATCAGGGGCAGAGGGCTGAGGCCAATGAATAGTGGATAACAGTGCAGGACTGATGGCAGAGGCCGAAGAAACAGTGGATAACAGAGCAAGGCAGGAGTGCTGAGGAAGAAAGAATAACAGAGCAAAGCCGAGGGCTGAGGCTGAAGAAGATAGCATAACAGATCAGGGGCAGAGGGCTGAGGCCAATGAATGATGGATAACAGTGCAGGACTGATGGCAGAGGCCGAAGAACAGTGGATAACAGAGCAAGGCGGGTACTGAGGGGAAGAAAAGAATAACAGAGTAAAGCCGAGGACTGGGGCTGAAAGAAGATAGCATAACAGATCAGGGCAGAGGGCTGGGGCCAATGAATAGTGGATAACAGTGCAGGACTGATGGCAGAGGCCGAAGAACGATGGATAACAGAGCAAGGCAGGTGCTGAGGAAGAAAAGAATATGAGGAAAGCCGAGGGCTGAGGCTGAAGAAGACAGCATAACAGATCAGGGCAGAGGGCTGAGGCCAATGAATAGTGGATAACAGTGCAGGACTGATGGCAGAGGCCGAAGAACAGTGGATAACAGAGCAAGGCGGAGTGCTGAGGAAGAAAGAATAACAGAGCAAAACAGAGGCTGAGGCTGAAGAAGACAGCACCAACAGATCAGGGGCAGAGGGCTGAGGCCAATGAATAGTGGATAACAGTGCAGGACTGATGGCAGAGGCCGAAGAACAGTGGATAACAGAGCAAGGCGGAGTGCTGAGGAAGAAAGAATAACAGAGGAAAGCCAGGGCTGAGGCTGAAGAAGAAGCATAACAGATCGGGGCAGAGGCTGAGGCCAATGAATAGTGGATAACAGTACAGGACTGATGGCAGAGGCAGAAGAACAGTGGATAACAGAGCAAGGCGGGAGTGTTGAGGAAGAAAGAATAACAGAGCAAAGCAGAGGGCTGAGGCTGAAGAAGATAGCATAACAGATCGAGGGGCAGAGGGCTGAGGCCAATGAATAGTGGATAACAGTGCAGGACTGATGGCAGAGGCCGAAGAACAGTGGATAACAGAGCAAGGCGGAGTGCTGAGGGAAGAAAGAATAACAGAGGAAAGCTGAGGCTGAGGCTGAAGAAGATAACATAACAGATCGGGGCAGGGCCAATGAATAGGGGGGACTGATGGCAGAGGCCGAAGATAGTGGATAACAGTGCAGGAAGAAAGAATAACAGGCAAAGCCGAGGCCTGAAGAACAGTGGATAACAGAGGCCAAGGTGGATAACAGTGCAGTGACTGAGGGAAGAACGGAAAGAGCAGTGGATAACAGGAGTGCTGAGAAGAAAGAATAACAGCGAGCGGAGGGCTGAGGCTGAAGAAGATAGCACACAGATCAGGGCAGAGGGCTGAGGCCAATGAATAGTGGATAACAGTGCAGGGACTGATGGCAGGGCCGAAGAACAGTGGATAACAGAGCAAGGCGTGAGTGCTGAGGAAGAAAGAATAACAGAGCAAAGCCGAGGGGCTGAGGCTGAAGAAGGATAGGCATAACAGATCAGGGCAGAGGGGCTGAGGCCAATGAATAGTGGATAACAGTGCAGGACTGATGGCAGAGGCAGAAGAACAGTGGATAACAGAGCAAGGCAGGAGTGCTGAGAAGAAAAGAATAACAGAGCAAAGCCAAAGGGTTGAGGCTGAAGAAGATAGCATAACAGATCAGGGCAGAGGGCTGAGGCCAATGAATAGTGGATAACAGTGCAGGACTGATGGCAGAGGCCGAAAGAACAGTGGATAACAGAGCAAGGCGGAGTGCTGAGGAAGAAAGAATAACAGAGCAAAGCCGAGGGCTGAGGCTGAAGAAGAAGCATAACAGATCGGGGCAGAGGGCTGAGGCCAATGAATAGTGGATAACAGTGCAGGACTGATGGCAGAGGCCGAAGAACAGTGGATAACAGAGCAAGGCGGAGTGCTGAGGAAGAAAAGAATAACAGAGCAAAGCGGAGGTCTGAGGGGCGGAAGAAGAAGCATAACAGATCGGGGCAGAGGGCTGAGGCCAATGAATAGGAGGATAACAGTGCAGGACTGATGGCAGAGGCCGAAGAACAGTGGATAACAGAGCAAGGCGGAGTGCTGAGGAAGAAAGAATAACAGAGGAAAGCCGAGGGCTGAGGCTGAAGAAGATAATAACAGATGGGGCAGAGGGCTGAGGCCAATGAATAGTGGATAACAGTGCAGGACTGATGGCAGAGGCCGAAGAACAGTGGATAACAGAGCAAGGCGGGAGGCTGAGGAAGAAAGAATAACAGAGCAAAGCCGAGGGCTGAGGCTGAAGAAGATAACAGATCGGGGCAGAGGGCTGAGGCCAATGAATAGTGGATAACAGTACAGACTGATGGCAGAGGCGAAGAACAGTGGATAACAGAGCAAGGCAGAGTGCTGAGAGGAAGAAAATAACAGAGCAAAGCTGAGGCTGAGGCTGAAGAAGATAACATAACAGATCGGGGCAGAGGGCTGAGGCCAATGAATAGTGGATAACAGTTAGGGACTGATGGCAGAGGCAGAAGAACAGTGATAACAGAGGAGGTGGAGTGCTGAGGAAGAAAGAATAACAGAGCAAAGCAGAGGGCTGAGGCTGAAGAAGATAGTATAACAGATCCAGGGGCAGAGGGGCTGAGGCCAATGAATAGTGGATAACAGTGCAGGACTGATGGCAGAGGCCGAAGAACAGTGGATAACAGAGCAAGGCAGAGTGCTGAGGAAGAAAAGAATAACAGAGCAAAGCCGAGGGCTGAGGCTGAAGAAGAGATAACAGATCGGGGCAGAGGGTTGAGGCCAATGAATAGTGGATAACAGTGCAGGACTGATGGCAGAGGCCGAAGAACAGTGGATAACAGAAACAAGGAGTGCTGAGGAAGAAAGAATAACAGAGCAAAGCGGAGGGGTGAGGCTGAAGAAGAAAGAATAACAGATCAGGGGCAGAGGCTGAGGCCAATGAATAGTGGATAACAGTGCAGGACTGATGGCAGAGGCCAGAACAGTGGATAACAGAAAGGCGGAGTGCTGAGGAAGAAAGAATAACAGAGCAAAGCAGAGGTCTGAGGCTGAAGAAGATAGCATAACAGATCAGGGCAGAGGGCTGAGGCCAATGAATAGGGATAACAGTGCAGGACTGATGGCAGAGGCCGAAGAACAGTGGATAACAGAGCAAGGCGGAGTGCTGAGGAAGAAAGAATAACAGAGCAAAGCAGAGGGCTGAGGCTGAAGAAGATAGCATAACAGATCGGGGCAGAGGCTGAGGCCAATGAATGAGTGGATAACAGTGCAGGACTGATGGCAGAGGCCGAAGAACAGTGGATAACAGAGCAAGGGGAGTGCTGAGGAAGAAAGAATAACAGAGCAAAGCCGAGGGCTGAGGCTGAAGAAGATAGTATAACAGATCGGGGCAGAGGGCTGAGGCCAATGAATAGTGGATAACAGTGCAGGACTGATGGCAGAGGCCGAAGAACAGTGGATAACAGAGCAAGGCAGAGTGCTGAGGAAGAAAGAATAACAGAGCAAAGCAGAGGGCTGAGGCTGAAGAAGATAGCATAACAGAATCGGGGAGAGGGCTGAGGCCAATGAATAGTGGATAACAGTGCAGGACTGATGGCAGAGGCCGAAGAACAGTGGATAACAGAGCAAGGAGGTGCTGAGGAAGAAAGAATAACAGAGGAAAGCGAGGCTGAGGGCTGAAGAAGATAGCACAACAGATCGGGGCAGAGGGTTGGGAGCCAATGAATAGTGGATAACAAGGCAGGACTGATGGCAGAGGCCGAAGAACAGTGGATAACAGAGCAAGGCGGAGTGCTGAGGAAGAAAGAATAACAGAGCAAAGCAGAGGGCTGAGGCTGAAGAAGATAGCATAACAGATCGGGGCAGAGGTCAAGGAGGCCAATGAATAGTGGATAACAGTGCAGGACTGATGGCAGAGGCCGAAGAACAGTGGATAACAGAGCAAGGCGGAGTGCTGAGGAAGAAAGAATAACAGAGCAAAGCGGGAGGGTTGAGGCTGAAGAAGATAGCATAACAGATCGGGGGCAGAGGGAAGAGGCCAATGAATAGTGGGATAACAGTGTAGGACTGATGGCAGAGGCAAGAACAGGCTGAACAGAGCAAGGCGGGAGTGGAGGAAGAAAGAATAACAGAGCAAAGCAGAGGGGCTGAGGCTGAAGAAGAAAGTATAACAGAGGGGGCAGAGGGGCTGAGGCTGAAGAATAGTGGATACAGGACTGATGGAGGCCGAAGAACAGTGGATAACAGAGCAAGGCGGAGTGCTGAGGAAGAAAAGAATAACAGAGTAGAGTGGAGGTTGAGGCTGAAGAAGAAAGACAGATAACAGACAGAGGTTGAGGCCACAATAGGTGGAAGAAGATGGCAGAGGCCGGAAGAACAGTGGAAACAGAGCAAGGCGGAGTGCTGAAGAAGAAAAGAATAACAGAGCAAAGGGGCAGGTTGAAGAAGACAGTATAACAGATGGGGCAGAGGCTGAGGCCAATGAATAGTGGATAACAGTGCAGGACTGATGGCAGAGGCAGAAGAACAGTGGATAACAGAGCAAGGGGAGTGCTGAGGAAGAAAGAATAACAGAGGAAAGCGGAGGGTTGAGGCTGAAGAAGAGGATAACAGAACAGGGCAGAGGGTTGAGGCCAATGAATAGTGGATAACAGTGCAGGACTGATGGCAGAGGCCAAGAACAGGGATGCACAGAGCAAGGTGGAGGAGCCTGAGGAAGAAAGAATAACAGAGCAAAGCCAGAGGGCTGAGGGCTGAAGAAGACAGCATAACAGACGGGGTGGAGAGGGGCTGAGGCCAATGAATAGTGGATAACAGTGCAGGGACTGATGGCAGAGGCCGAAGAACAGTGGATAACAGAGCAAGGCGGAAAGAATGAGCAAAGCGAGGGCTGAGGAAGAAAGAATAACAGAGAAAGGGAAGAGGCTAATGAGGGATGAAGAAGATAAAGAACAGTGGATAACATAACAGAAGAAAGAATAACAGAGCGGGGCAGAGGCATGAGGCTAGAGGGCTGAATAGTGGATAACAGTGGGACTGATGGCAGAGGCCGAAGAACAGTGGATAACAGAGCAAGTGGAGTGCTGAGGAAGAAAGAATGAGCAAAGCAGAGGGTTGAGGCTGAAGAAGAGAATAACAGAGGGGGCAGAGGGCTGAGGCCAATGAATAGTGGATAACAGTGCAGGACTGATGGCAGAGGAAGAACAGGGATAGGTGGGAGTGTTGAGAAGAAAAGAATAACAGAGCAAAGGAGGGCTGAGGAAGGAAGAAGATAGATAACAGGGGCAGAGGGCAGAGGCCAATGAATAGTGGATAACAGTGGTGACTGATGGCAGAGGCCGAAGAACAGTGGATAACAGAGCAAGGCGGGAGTGTTGAGGAAGAAAGAATAACAGACAAAGCGAGGGGCTGAGGTTGAAGAAGATAGTATAAAAGATTGGGGCAGAGGGAAGGAGGCTATGAATAGTGGGATAACAGTGGTGGGACTGATGGTGAGGAAGGAAGAACAGTGGGATAACAGAGCAAGGCGGAGTGTTGAGGAAGAAAGAATAATAGAGAAAGCCGAGGGCTGAGGCTGAAGAAGATAGCATAACAGATCGGGGCAGAGGGCTGGAGGCCAATGAATAATAGTGGATAACAGTGCAGGACTGATACAGAGGCCGAAGAACAAGTGGAGTAACTGAGGAAGAAAGAGAATAACAGAGCAGGAGGCTGAGGAAGAAGATAGCATAACAGAGTAGAGCGGAATAGGGGATAACAGTGCAGGACTGAAGAAGAAGAACAGGATAACAGAGGTATGGAGTGCGGGGGAAGAGGAGCTGAGGGCTGAGGCAAGAAGATAATAACAGATCGGGGCAGAGGCTTGGAGGCCAATGAATGGGATAACAGCAGGACTGATGGGCAGAGGCCGAAGAACGGATGGATAACAGAGCAAGGTGGAGTGCTGAGGAAGAAAGAATAATAGAGCAAGAGGCTGAGGCTGAAGAAGATAGCATAACAGATTGGGGCAGAGGGCTGAGGCCAATGAATAGTGGACAGTGCAGGACTGATGGCAGAGGCCGAAGAACAGTGGATAACAGAGCAAGGTGGGAGTGCTGAGGAAGAAAAGAATAACAGAGCAAAGCGGGAGGGCTGGAGGCTGAAGAAGATAGCATAACAGACGGGGCAGCAGGGCTGGAGGCCAATGAACAGTGGATAACAGTGGTGACTGATGGCAGAGGCTGAAGAACAGTGGATAACAGAGCAAGGCGGAGGCTGAGGAAGAAAGAAGGCCAGAGCAAAGCCGAGGGCTGAGGCTGAAGAAGATAGCACAACAGACGGGGGCAGAGGGCTGAGGCCAATGAATAGTGGATAACAGTGTGATGGCAGAGGCTGAAGAACAGGGACAATAGAAGGTGGAGTGCTGAGGAAGAAAGAACAGAGTAGAAAGCCGAGGTTTGAGGAGGCGGGGAGACAGCATAACAGACGGGGCAGAGGGCTGAGGCCAATGAATAGTGGATAACAGTGCAGGACTGATGGCAGAGGCCGAAGAACAGTGGATAACAGAGCAAGGCGGAGTGCTGAGAAGAAAGAATAACAGAGCAAAGCAGAGGGCTGAGGATGAAGAAGATAGCATAACAGATCAGGGCAGAGGTTGAGGCCAATGAATAGTGGATAACAGTGCAGGATGGCAGAGGCCGAAGAACAGTGGATAACAGAGCAGGCCGGAGGGGAACAGAGCAGAGCGGAGGGCTGGGCTGAAGAAGATACATAACAGATCGGGGCAGAGGCCCAATGAATAGTGGATAACAGTGCAGGACTGATGGCAGAGGCCGAAGAACAGTGGATAACAGAGTGCAAGGAATAACAGGAGTGCTGAGGAAGAAAGAATAACAGAGGGCTGAAAAATAGCCGGAGGGCTGAGGGGCCAAGAAGACAGTATAACAGATCGGGGCAGAGGGCTGAGGCCAATGAATAGTGGATAACAGTGCAGGACTGATGGCAGAGGCCGAAGAACAGTGGATAACAGAGAGCAAGGGAGTGAGGGAGGAAAAAGAATAACAGAGCAAAGCCGAGGGCTGAGGCTGAAGAAGATAAAGCATAACAGATCGGGGCAGAGGGCTGAGGCCAATGAATAGTGGATAACAGTGCAGGACTGATGGCAGAGGCCGAAGAACAGGGAGGATAACAGAGCAAGGAGAGCTGAGGAAGAAAGAATAACAGAGCAAAGCAGGGCTGAGGAAAGAAGACAGATAACAGATCGGGGCAGAGGGTTGAGGCCAATGAATAGTGGATAACAGTGCAGGACTGATGGCAGAGGCCGAAGAACAGTGGATAAACAGAGCAAGGCGGAGTGCTGAGGAAGAAAGAATAACAGAGGAGTGGAGGCTGAGGCCAAAGAAGATAGCATAACAGATCGGGGCAGAGGGCTGAGGCCAATGAATAGTGGATAACAGTGCAGGACTGATGGCAGAGGCCGAAGAACAGTGGATAACAGAGCAAGGCGGAGTGCTGAGGAAGAAAGAATAACAGAGCAAAGGGAGGGCTGAGGCTGAAGAAGATAGCATAACAGATCGGGGCAGAGGGCTGAGGCCAATGAATAGTGGATAACAGTGCAGGACTGATGGCAGAGGCCGAAGAAAAGCAGGGGCTGAGGCTGAAGAGAGCAAACAGATCGGGAGCAGAGGGCTGAGGAAGAAAGAATAAGGACTGATGGCAGAGGGGCCAAGAGTGGATAACAGAGGTCTGAGGCAGAGGAAAGAGCGGAGGTCTGAAAGAAGATAGCATAACAGACGGGGCAGAGGGCTGAGGCCAATGAATAGTGGATAACAGTGCAGGGACTGATGGCAGAGGCCGAAGAACAGTGGATAACAGAGCAAGGCGAGTGCTGGGAAGAAAGAATAACAGAGCAAAGCCGAGGGCTGAGGCTGAAAAGAGTATAACAGATCAGGGCAGAGGGTTGAGGCCAATGAATAGTGGATAACAGTGCAACTGATGGCAGAGGCCGAAGAACAGTGGATAACAGAGGGCAGGCTGAGGAAGAAAGAATAACAGAGCAAAGCTGAGGGCTGAGGCTGAAGAAGATAGCATAACAGATGGGGCAGAGGGCTGAGGCCATGAATAGTGGATAACAGTGCAGGACTGATGGCAGAGGCCGAAGAACAGTGGATAACAGAGCAAGGCGGAGTGCTGAGGAAGAAAGAATAACAAGAGGAAAGCAGAGGGTTGAGGCTGAAGAAGATAGCATAACAGATCGGGGCAGAGGGGGAGGCCAATGAATAGTGGATAACAGTGCAGGACTGATGGCAGAGGCCGAAGAACAGTGGATAACAGAGCAAGGCAGAGTGCTGAGGAAGAAAGAATAACAGAGGAAAGCGAGGGCTGAGAGGCTGAAGAAGATAGCATAACAGATCGGGGGCAGAGGGCTGAGGCCAATGAATAGTGGAGGAGTGCAGGACTGATGGCAGAGGCCAAGAAGAACAGTGGATAACAGAGCAAGGCGAGTGCTGAGGAAGAAAAGAATAAAAGAGAAAAGCCGAGGGAAGAGGCTGAAGAAGACAGCATAAAAAACAGATCGGGGCAGAGGGCAGAGGCCAATGAATAGTGGATAACAGTGCAGGACTGATGGCAGAGGCCGAAGAACAGTGGATAACAGAGCAAGGGGAGTGCTGAGGAAGAAAGAATAACAGAGCAAAGCAGAGGGCTGAGGCTGAAGAAGATAGCATAACAGATCAGGGGCAGAGAGGGTTGAGGCCAATGAATAGTGGATAACAGTGCAGGACTGATGGCAGAGGCCGAAGAACAGTGGATAACAGAGCAAGGTGGGAGGAAGGAAAGAATAACAGAGCAAAGCCGAGGCTGAGGCAAAGAAGATAGCATAACAGATTGGGGCAGAGGGCAAGGAATGATAACAGTGCAGGACTGATGGCAGAGGCCGAAGAACAGTGGATAACAGAGCAAGGCGGGAGGGAATAAAGAGCAAAGCAGAGGGCTGAGGCTGAAGAAGATAGTATAACAGATCAGGGGCAGAGGCTGAGGCTAATGAATAGTGGATAACAGTGCAGGACTGATGGCAGAGGCCGAAGAACAGTGGATAACAGAGCAAGGCGGAGGTTGAGGAAGAAAGAATAACAGAGAAAGCTGAGGTCTGAGGCTGAAGAAGATAAGGATAACAGATCGGGGCAGAGGGCTGAGGCCAATGAATAGTGGATAACAGTGCAGGACTGATGGCAGAGGCCGAAGAACAGTGGATAACAGAGAAGTGCTGAGGAAGAAAGAATAACAGAGCAAAGCCGAGGGCTGAGGCTGAAGAAGATAGTATAACAGATCGGGGCAGAGGTTGAGGCCAATGAATAGTGGATAACAGTGCAGGACTGATGGCAGAGGCCGAAGAACAGTGGATAACAGAGCAAGGGAGTGCTGAGGAAGAAAGAATAACAGAGGAAAGCTGAGGCTGAGGCTGAAGAAGATAGCAACAGATCGGGGCAGAGGGCTGAGGCCAATGAATAGTGGATAACAGTGCAGGACTGATGGCAGAGGCCGAAGAACAGTGGATAACAGAGCAAGGCGGGAGGCTGAGGAAGAAAGAATAACAGAGGAAAGCCGAGGGCTGAGGCTGAAGAAGACAGTATAACAGATCGGGGCAGAGGGCTGAGGCCAATGAATAGTGGATAACAGTGCAGGACTGATGGCAGAGGCCGAAGAACAGTGGATAAACAGAGCAAGGCGGAGTGCTGAGGAAGAAAGAATACAGAGCAAAGCTGAGGGTTGAGGCTGAAGAAGATAGCATAACAGATCGGGGGCAGAGAGGGCTGAGGCCAATGAATAGTGGATAACAGTGCAGGACTGATGGCAGAGGCCGAAGAACAGTGGGATAACAGAGCAAGGAGTGAGGTGAGGAAGAAAAGAATAACAGAGGAAAGCCGAGGGCTGAGGCTGAAGAAGATAGCATAACAGATCCGGGGCAGAGGGGTTGAGGCCAATGAATAGTGGATAACAGTGCAGGACTGATGGCAGAGGCAAAGAACAGTGGATAACAGAGCAAGGCGGAGTGCTGAGGAAGAAAGAATAAGCAAGAGGAAAGCCGAGGGTCTGAGGCTGAAGAAGATAGCATAACAGATTGGGGCAGAGGGTGAGGCCAATGAATAGTGGATAACAGTGCAGGACTGATGGCAGAGGCCGAAGAACAGTGGATAACAGAGCAAGGTGGAGTGCTGAGGAAGAAAGAATAACAGAGCAAAGCAGAGGTCTGAGAAGATAGAAGAAGATGAGGCAATAACAGATCACTGATGGGCAAGAACAGGGCAGAGGGCCAATGAATAGTGGAAAACAGTGAGGCAAGGACTGATGGGGGCAGAGGGCGAAGAACAGTGGATAACAGAGCAAGGCCGAAGAACAGTGCTGAGGAAGAAAAGAAAGAACAGAGCAAAGCCGAGGGTTGAGGCTGAAGAAGATAGCATAACAGATCAGGGCAGAGGCTGAGGCCAATGAATAGTGGATAACAGTGCAGACTGATGGCAGAGGCCGAAGAACAGTGGATAACAGAGCAAGGCGGGAGTGCTGAGGAAGAAAGAATAACAGAGAAAGCGAGGGCTGAGGCTGAAGAAGAGCATAACAGATCGGGGCAGAGGGTTGAGGCCAATGAATAGTGGATAACAGTGCAGGACTGATGGCAGAGGCCGAAGAACAGTGGATAACAGAGCAAGGCGGGAGTGCTGAGGAAGAAAGAATAACAGAGCAAAGCAGAGGGCTGAGGCTGAAGAAGATAGCATAACAGATCGGGGCAGAGGCTGAGGCCAATGAATAGTGGATAACAGTGCAGGACTGATGGCAGAGGCCGAAGAACAGTGGATAACAGAGCAAGGCGGGAGTGCTGAGGAAGAAAGAATAACAGAGGAAAGCCGAGGGCTGAGGCTGAAGAAGACAGCATAACAGATCAGGGCAGAGGGTTGAGGCCAATGAATAGTGGATAACAGTGCAGGACTGATGGCAGAGGCCGAAGAACAGTGGATAACAGAGCAAGGCGGGAGTGCTGAGGAAGAAAGAATAACAGAGCAAAGCCGAGGGGTTGAGGCTGAAGAAGACAGTATAACAGAATCGGGGCAGAGGGTATAACAGAGGGCAGAGGGGCCAATGAATAGTGGGATAACAGTGCAGGACTGATGGCAGAGGCCGAAGAACAGTGGACAGAGGAGGCAGAGGAAGAAAGAATAACAGAGCAGGAGTGCTGAGGAAGAAAGAAGGCAGAGGCTAACAGAGGAAAGCTGAGGTCTGAAGAACAGTGAAAAGAAGATAGAAGAAAGAATATCAGGGCAGAGGGGCTGAGGCCAATGAATAGAATAACAGAGGACTGATGGCAGAGGCCGAAAGGCGGAGTGTTGAGGGAGCAGAGGGCTGAGGCTGGAGAAGGAAGAAAGAATAACAGAGGAAATGGCAGAGGGGCTGAAAAGGAATACAGAGCAAAGCCGAAGACAGATAACGGGGCAGAGGGCTGAGGCCAATGAATAGTGGATAACAGTGCAGGACTGATGGCAGAGGCCGAAGAACAGTGGATAACAGAGCAAGGCGGAGTGCTGAGGAAGAAAGAATAACAGAGCAAAGCAGAGGGCTGAGGCTGAAGAAGAGCATAACAGATCGGGGCAGAGGGCTGAGGCCAATGAATAGTGGATAACAGTGCAGGACTGATGGCAGAGGCCGAAGAACAGTGGATAACAGAGCAAGGCGGGAGTGCTGAGGAAGAAAGAATAATAGAGCAAAAAGCAGAGGCTGAGGCTGAAGAAGATAGCATAACAGACGGGGCAGAGGGTTGAGGCCAATGAATAGTGGATAACAGTGCAGGACTGATGGCAGAGGCCGAAGAACAGTGGATAACAGAGCAAGGCGGAGTGCTGAGGAAGAAAGAATAACAGAGCAAAGCAGAGGGCTGAGGCTGAAGAAGATAGCATAACAGATCGGGGCAGAGGGCTGAGGCCAATGAATAGTGGATAACAGTAGGACTGATGGCAGAGGCCGAAGAACAGTGGATAACAGAGCAAGGTGGAGTGCTGAGGAAGAAAGAATAACAGAGGAAAGCGAGGGCTGAGGCTGAAGAAGATAGCATAACAGATCGGGGCAGAGGGCTGAGGCCAATGAATAGTGGATAACAGTGCAGGACTGATGGCAGAGGCCGAAAGAACAGTGGATAACAGAGCAAGGCAGTGCTGAGGAAGAAAGAATAACAGAGAGAAAGCTGAGGGCTGAGGCTGAAGAAGACAGCATAACAGATCGGGGCAGAGGCTGAGGCCAATGAATAGTGGATAACAGTGCAGGACTGATGGCAGAGGCCGAAGAACAGTGGATAGAGCAAGAGTGCTGAGGAAAGAAAGAATAACAGAGCAAAGCAGAGGCTGAGGCTGAAAGAAGATAGCATAACAGATCGGGCAGAGGAAAATGAATAGTGGATAACAGTGGTGACTGATGGCAGAGGCCGAAGAACAGAGGATAACAGAGCAAGGCGGGAGTGCTGAGGAAGAAAGAATAACAGAGCAAAGCAGGGTGAGGCTGAAGAAGATAGCATAACAGATCGGGGCAGAGGGCTGAGGCCAATGAATAGTGGATAACAGTGCAGGACTGATGGCAGAGGCCGAAGAACAGTGGATAACAGAGCAAGGCGGGAGTGCTGAGGAAGAAAGAATAACAGAGTAAAGGTCTGAGGGCATGAGGGGTGAAGAAGACAGTATAACAGATGATGGCGGGGCAAAGGGGCTGAGGCCAATGAATAGTGGATAACAGTGCAGGACCAATGATGGCAGAGGACGAAGAACAGTGGATAACAGAGCAAGGCGGAGTGCTGAGGAAGAAAGAATAAAAGAGCAAAGCAGAGGGCTGAGGCTGAAGAAGATAGCATAACAGATCAGGGGCAGAGGCTGAGGCCACGAATAGTGGATAACAGTGCAGGACTGATGGCAGAGGCCAAAGAACAGTGGATAAATAGCAAGCAAGGAGTGCTGAGGAAGAAAGAATAACAGAGGAAAGCTGAGGGCTGAGGCTGAAGAACATAACAGATCGGGGCAGAGGGCTGAGGCCAATGAAGGATAACAGTGCAGGACTGACGGCAGAGGAAAGAACAGTGGATAACAGACAGAGGCGGAGTGTTGAGGAAGAAAGAATAAAAGAGGAAAGCTGAGGGCTGAGAAGAAGATAGCATAACAGATCGGGGCAGAGGGCTGAGGCCAATGAATAGTGGATAACAGTGCAGGACTGATGGCAGAGGCCGAAGAACAGTGGATAACAGAGCAAGGCGGAGTGCTGAGGAAGAAAGAATAACAGAGAAAGCAGAGGTCTGAGGCTGAAGAAGACAGCATAACAGATCGGGGCAGAGGGCTGAGGCCAATGAATAGTGGATAACAGTGCAGGACTGATGGCAGAGGCCGAAGAACAGTGGATAACAGAGCAAGGCGGAGTGCTGAGGAAGAAAGAATAACAGAGCAAAGCAGAGGGCTGAGGCTGAAGAAGATAGCATAACAGATCGGGGCAGAGGGCTGAGGCCAATGAATAGTGGATAACAGTGCAGGACTGATGGCAGAGGCCGAAGAACAGTGGATAACAGAGCAAGGCGGAGTGCTGAGGAAGAGAATAACAGAGTAAGCGGAGGGCTGAGGCTGAAGAAGATAGCATAACAGATCGGGGTAGAGGCTGAGGCCAATGAATAGTGGATAACAGTGCAGGACTGATGGCAGAGGCCGAAGAACAGTGGATAACAGAGCAAGGCGGAGTGCTGAGGAAGAAAGAATAACAGAGAAAGCGGAGGTCTGAAGGAGGCTGAAGAAGACAGCATAACAGATCGGGGCAGAGGGCTGAGGCCAATGAATAGTGGATAACAGCAGGACTGATGGCAGGGGGCCGAAGAACAGTGGATAACAGAGCAAGGCGGAGAGGAAGAAAGAATAACAGAGCAAAGCCGAGGGCTGAGGCTGAAGAAGATAGCATAACAGATCAGGGGCAGAGGGCTGAGGCCAATGAATAGTGGATAACAGTGCAGGACTGATGGCAGAGGCCGAAGAACAGTGGATAACAGAGCAAGGCGGAGTGCTGAGGAAGAAAGAATAACAGAGCGGAGGGCTGAGGCCAGAAGATAGCATAACAGATCGGGGCAGAGGGCTGAGGCCAATGAATAGTGGATAACAGTGCAGGACTGATGGCAGAGGCCGAAGAACAGTGGATAACAGAGAGCAAGGCGGAGTGCTGAGGAAGAAAGAATAACGAGCAAAAGCCGAGGGCTGAGGCTGAAGAAGATAGCAAACAGATCGGGGCAGAGGGCTGAGCAAATGAATAGTGGATAACAGTGCAGGACTGATGGCAGAGGCGAAGAACAGTGGATAACAGAGCAAGGCGGAGTGCTGAGGAAGAAAGAAGGAAAGCAGAGTAAGAGCATAACAGAGGTCTGAGGCTGAAAAGAAGAGTGCAGGACATAGAGGCAGATCGGGGCAGAGGGGGAAAGAGGCCAAGCAGCGAATAGTGGATAACAGTGCAGGACTGATGGGATACAGAGGCCGAAGAACAGTGGATAACAGAGCAAGGGGAGGTGCTGAGGAAGAAAGAATAATAGAGTAAAGCGGAGGTCTGAGGCTGAAGAAGATAGTATAACAGATCGGGGCAGAGGGCTGAGGCCAATGAATAGTGGATAACAGTGCAGGACTGATGGCAGAGGCCGAAGAACAGTGGATAACAGAGCAAGGCGGAGTGCTGAGGAAGAAAGAATAATAAGCAAAGCTGAGGGCTGAGGCTGAAGAAGATAGAGGATCTGAGGCCAATGAATAGTGGATAACAGTGCAGACTGATGGCAGAGGCCGAAGAACAGTGGATAACAGAGCAAGGCGGGAGCTGAGGAAGAAAGAATAACAGAGTAGAGAGGTCTGAGAAGAAGATAGCACAACAGATCGGGGCAGAGGCTGAGGGCCGAATAGTGGATAACAGTGCAGGACTGATGGCAGAGGCCGAAGAACAGTGGATAACAGAGCAAGGGAGTGCTGAGGAAGAAAGAATAATAGAGTAAAGCGAGGGTTGAGGCTGAGGACAGTATAAAGAGATTTGGGGCAGAGGGCTGAGAAATAGTGGATAACAGTGCAGGGACTAACAGAACAGTGGGACAAGGAGCAGAGGCTGAGGCCAATGAATAGTGAAGATAACAGTGCAGGACTGATGGGATAACAGAGGCTGAAGAACAGTGGATAACAGAGCAAGGCGGAGTGCTGAGGAAGAAAGAATAACAGAGCAAAGCGAGGGCTGAGGCTGGAAGAAGATAGCATAACAGATCGGGGCAGAGGGCTGAGGCCAATGAATAGTGGATAACAGTGCAGGACTGATGGCAGAGGCCGAAGAACAGTGGATAACAGAGCAAGGCAGTGCTGAGGAAGAAAGAATAACAGAGCAAAGCGGAGGGCTGAGGCTGAAGAAGATAGCTGATAACAGATCGGGGCAGAGGGGCTGAGGCCAATGAATAGTGGATAACAGTGCAGGACTGATGGCAGAGGCCGAAGAACAGTGGATAACAGAGCAAGGCGGAGTGCTGAGAAGAAAGAATAACAGAGTAAAGCCGGAGGTCTGAGGCTGAAGAAGACAGCTAACAGATCGGGGCAGAGGCTGAGGCCAATGAATAGTGGATAACAGTGCAGGACTGATGGCAGAGGCCGAAGAACAGTGGATAACAGAGCAAGGCGGAGTGCTGAGGAAGAAAGAATAACAGAGTGGAAAGGAGGTCTGAGGCTGAAGAAGACAGCATAACAGATCAGGGGCAGAGGGGAGGCCAATGAATAGTGGATAACAGCAGGACTGATGGCAGAGGCCGAAGAACAGTGGATAACAGAGCAAGGCGGAGTGCTGAGGAAGAAAGAATAACAGAGTAAAGCCGAGGTCTGAGGCTGAAGAAGATAGCATAACAGATCGGGCAGAGGGGCTGAGGCCAATGAATAGTGGATAACAGTGCAGGACTGATGGCAGAGGCCGAAGAACAGTGGATAACAGAGCAAGGCGGAGTGCTGAGGAAGAAAGAATAACAGAGCAAAGCGAGGGCTGAGGCTGAAGAAGACAGCATAACAGATCGGGGCAGAGGGCTGAGGCCAATGAATAGTGGATAACAGTGCAGGACTGATGGCAGAGGCCGAAGAACAGTGGATAACAGAGCAAAAGGGGAAAGGAGGAAGAAAAGAATAACAGAGCAAAGCCGAGGCTGAGGCTGAAGAAGATAGCATAACAGATCGGGGCAGAGGGCTGAGGCCAATGAATGAGTGGATAACAGTGCAGGACTGATGGCAGAGGCCGAAGAACAGTGGATAACAGAGCAAGGCGGAGTGCTGAGGAAGAAAGAATAACAGAGCAAAGCTGAGGGCTGAGGCTGAAGAAGATAGCATAACAGATCGGGGGCAGAGGGCTGAGGCCAATGAATAGTGGATAACAGTGCAGGACTGATGGCAGAGGCCGAAGAACAGTGGATAACAAGGCAGAGTGCTGAAAGAAAAGAAAGAATAGCAAGAGTAATAGAGGAGAGGAAAGGAAGAAGAATAACAGAGCAGAGGGCTGAGGCCAATGAATAGTGGATAACAGTGCAGACTGAGGCCGAAGAACAGTGGATAACAGAGCAAGGGCAGGAAGAAAGAATAACAGAGCAAAGAGGCTGAGGCTGAAGAAGAAGCATAACAGATGGGCAGAGGGCTAAGGCCAATGAATAGTGGACAGTGCAGGACTGATGGCAGAGGCCGAAGAACAGTGGATAACAGAGCAAGGCGGAGTGCTGAGGGAAGAAAGAATAACAGAGCAAAGCCGAGGGCTGAGGCTGAAGAAGATAGTATAACAGATCGGGGCAGAGGGCTGAGGCCAATGAATAGTGGATAACAGTGCAGGACTGATGGCAGAGGCCGAAGAACAGTGGATAACAGAGCAAGGCGGGAGGTTGAGGGAAAAGAATAGAGGATAGGGGGCTGAAGAAGATAGTATAACAGATGGGGCAGAGGGCTGAGGCCAAGAATAGTGGATAACAGTGCAGGACTGATGGCAGAGGCCGAAGAACAGTGGATAACAGAGCAAGGCGGAGCTGAGGAAGAAAAGAATAACAGAGGAAAGCCGAGGGCTGAGGCTGAAGAAGATAGCATAACAGATCAGGGCAGAGGGCTGAGGCCAATGAATAGTGGATAACAGTGCAGGACTGATGGCAGAGGCCGAAGAACAGTGGATAACAGAGCAAGGCAGAGTGCTGAGGAAGAAAGAATAACAGAGCAAAGCAGAGGGCTGAGGCTGAAGAAGATAGCATAACAGATCGGGGCAGAGGGCTGAGGCCAATGAATAGTGGATAACAGTGCAGGACTGATGGCAGAGGCCGAAGAACAGTGGATAACAGAGCAAGGCGGGAGTGCTGAGGAAGAAAGAATAACAGAGGAAAGCCGAGGCTGAGGCTGAAGAAGATAGCATAACAGAAGAGGGCACCAATGAATAGTGGATAACAGGGCAGACTGATGGCAGAGGCCGAAGAACAGTGGATAACAGAGAAGGCGGAGTGCTGAGGAAGAAAAGAATAACAGAGGAAAGCCGAGGGCTGAGGCTGGAAGAAGATGATAACAGGGGGCAGAGGGCTGAGGCCAATGAATAGTGGATAACAGAGGACTGATGGCAGAGGCCGAAGAACAGTGGATGAGGAAAAGGCGGGAAGAAAAAGAATAACAGAGTAGAGCGGAGGTCTGAGGCTGAAGAAGATAGCATAACAGATCGGGGCAGAGGGCTGAGGCCAATGAATAGTGGATAACAGTGCAGGACTGATGGCAGAGGCCGAAGAACAGTGGATAACAGAGCAAGGCGGAGTGCTGAGGAAGAAAGAATAACAGAGGAAAGCCGAGGTCTGAGGCTGAAGAAGATAGCATAACAGATCGGGGCAGAGGGCTGAGGCCAATGAATAGTGGATAACAGTGCAGGACTGATGGCAGAGGCCGAAGAACAGTGGATAACAGAGCAAGGCGGAGTGCTGAGGAAGAAAGAATAACAGAGTAGAGCGGAGGTCTGAGGCTGAAGAAGATAGCATAACAGATCGGGGCAGAGGGCTGAGGCCAATGAATAGTGGATAACAGTGCAGGACTGATGGCAGAGGCCGAAGAACAGTGGATAACAGAGCAAGGCGGAGTGCTGAGGAAGAAAGAATAACAGAGGGAAAGCTGAGGGCTGAGGCTGAAGAAGATAGCATAAAGTGGAGATCGGGGGTAGAGGGCAGAGGCCAATGAATAAAGTGGATAAAAGCAGGCTGCAGGACTGATGGCAGAGGCTGAAGAACAGTGGATAACAGAGCAAGGACTGTGGCAGAGGAAGAAAAGAATAACAGAGGAAAGCCGAGGGCTGAGGCTGAAGAAGATAGCATAACAGATCGGGGCAGAGGGCTGAGGCCAATGAATAGTGGATAACAGTGCAGGACTGATGGCAGAGGCCGAAGAACAGTGGATAACAGAGCAAGGCGGAGTGCTGAGGAAGAAAGAATAACAGAGGAAAGCCGAGGGCTGAGGCTGAAGAAGATAGCATAACAGATCGGGGCAGAGGGCTGAGGCCAATGAATAGTGGATAACAGTGCAGGACTGATGGCAGAGGCCGAAGAACAGTGGATAACAGAGCAAGGCGGGAGTGCTGAGGAAGAAAAGAATAACAGAGCAAAGCTGAGGGCTGAGGCTGAAGAAGATAGCATAACAGATCGGGGCAGAGGGCTGAGGCCAATGAATAGTGGATAACAGGACTGCAGGACTGATGGCAGAGGCCAAGAACAGTGGATAACAGGAGCAAGGCAGGAGTGCTGAGGAAGAAAGAATAACAGAGCAAAGCAGAGGGCTGAGGCTGAAGAAGATAGCATAACAGATCAGGGCAGAGGGCTGAGGCCAATGAATAGTGGATAACAGTGCAGGACTGATGGCAGAGGCCGAAGAACAGTGGATAACAGAGCAAGGAAAGGAGTGCTGAGGAAGAAAGAATAACAGAGCAAAGCAGAGGGCTGAGGCTGAAGAAGATAGCATAACAGATCAGGGGCAGAGGGCTGAGGCCAATGAATAGTGGATAACAGTGCAGGACTGATGGCAGAGGCCGAAGAACAGTGGATAACAGAGCAAGGCGGAGTGTTGAGGAAGAAAGAATAACAGAGGAAAGCTGAGGGCTGAGGCTGAAGAAGATAGCAACAGATCGGGGCAGAGGGCTGAGGCCAATGAATAGTGGATAACAGTGCAGGACTGATGGCAGAGGCCGAAGAACAGTGGATAACAGAGCAAGGCGGAGTGCTGAGGAAGAAAGAATAACAGAGCAAAGCAGAGGGCTGAGGCTGAAGAAGATAGCATAACAGATCGGGGCAGAGGGCTGAGGCTAATGAATAGTGGATAACAGTGCAGGACTGATGGCAGAGGCGAAGAACAGTGGATAACAGAGCAAGGACGGAGGCTGAGGAAGAAAGAATAACAGAGGAAAGGTCGAGGGGCTGAGGCTGAAGAAGATAGGCATAACAGATCCAGGGCAGAGGGCTGAGGCAATGAATAGTGGATAACAGAGGACTGATGGCAGAGGCCGAAGAACAGTGGATAACAGAGCAAACAGGCAGGTGCTGAGGAAGAAAGAATAAAAGAGGGAAAGCGAGGGCTGAGGGGTGAAGGGCAGATCGGGGCAGAGGCTGAGGCCAATGAATAGTGGATAACAGTGCAGGACTGATGGCAGAGGCCGAAGAACAGTGGATAACAGAGCAAGGCGGAGTGCTGAGGAAGAAAGAATAACAGAGGAAAAGCCGAGGGCTGAGGCTGAAGAAGACAGTATAACAGATCGGGGCAGAGGGGCTGAGGCCAATGAATAGTGGATAACAGTGCAGGACTGATGGCAGAGGCCGAAGAACAGTGGATAACAGAGCAAGGCGGAGTGCTGAGGAAGAAAGAATAACAGAGCAAAGCCGAGGGCTGAGGCTGAAGAAGACAGCATAACAGATCGGGGCAGAGGCTGAGGCCAATGAATAGGGATAACAGTGCAGGACTGATGGCAGAGGCCGAAGAACAGTGGATAATAGAGCAAGGCGGAGTGCTGAGGAAGAAAGAATAACAGAGGCCGAGGGCTGAGGCTGAAGAAGATGGATAACAGATCAGGGGCAGAGGGCTGAGGCCAATGAATAGTGGATAACAGTGCAGGACTGATGGCAGAGGCCGAAGAACAGTGGATAACAGAGCAAGGCGGAGTGCTGAGGAAGAAAGAGAATAACAGAGCAAAATAGAGGCTGAGGCTGAAGAAGATAGCATAACAGATCGGGGCAGAGGGCTGAGGCCAATGAATAGTGGATAACAGTGCAGGACTGATGGCAGAGGCCGAAGAACAGTGGATAACAGAGCAAGGCGGAGTGCTGAGGAAGAAAGAATAACAGAGCAAAGCAGAGGGCTGAGGCCAATGAAGAAGATAGCTGATAACAGATCGGGGCAGAGGGCTGAGGCCAATGAATAGTGGATAACAGTGCAGGACTGATGGCAGAGGCCGAAGAACAGTGGATAACAGAGCAAGGCGGAGTGCTGAGGAAGAAAGAATAACAGAGCAGCCGAGGGGCTGAGGCTGAAGAAGATAGCATAACAGATCGGGGCAGAGGGCTGAGGCCAATGAATAGTGGATAACAGTGCAGGACTGATGGCAGAGGCCGAAGAACAGTGGATAACAGAGCAAGGCGGAGTGCTGAGGAAGAAAGAATAACAGAGTAGAGCGGAGGTCTGAGGCTGAAGAAGATAGCATAACAGATCGGGGCAGAGGGCTGAGGCCAATGAATAGTGGATAACAGTGCAGGACTGATGGCAGAGGCCGAAGAACAGTGGATAACAGAGCAAGGCGGAGTGCTGAGGAAGAAAGAATAACAGAGCAAAGCAGAGGGCTGAGGCTGAAGAAGATAGCATAACAGATCGGGGCAGAGGGCTGAGGCCAATGAATAGTGGATAACAGTGCAGGACTGATGGCAGAGGCCGAAGAACAGTGGATAACAGAGCAAGGCGGAGTGCTGAGGAAGAAAGAATAACAGAGCAGAGCTGAGGGCTGAGGCTGAAGAAGATAGCATAACAGATCGGGGCAGAGGGCTGAGGCCAATGAATAGTGGATAACAGTGCAGGACTGATGGCAGAGGCCGAAGAACAGTGGATAACAGAGCAAGGCGGAGTGCTGAGGAAGAAAGAATAACAGAGCAAAGCCGAGGGCTGAGGCTGAAGAAGATAGCATAACAGATCGGGGCAGAGGGCTGAGGCCAATGAATAGTGGATAACAGTGCAGGACTGATGGCAGAGGCCGAAGAACAGTGGATAACAGAGCAAGGCGGAGTGCTGAGGAAGAAAGAATAACAGAGCAAAGCCGAGGGCTGAGGCTGAAGAAGATAGCATAACAGATCGGGGCAGAGGGCTGAGGCCAATGAATAGTGGATAACAGTGCAGGACTGATGGCAGAGGCCGAAGAACAGTGGATAACAGAGCAAGGCGGAGTGCTGAGGAAGAAAGAATAACAGAGCAAAGCAGAGGGCTGAGGCTGAAGAAGATAGCATAACAGATCGGGGCAGAGGGCTGAGGCCAATGAATAGTGGATAACAGTGCAGGACTGATGGCAGAGGCCGAAGAACAGTGGATAACAGAGCAAGGGAGTGCTGAGGAAGAAAGAATAACAGAGCAAAGCCGAGGGCTGAGGCTGAAGAAGATAGCATAACAGATCCGGGCAGAGGGCTGAGGCCAATGAATAGTGGATAACAGTGCAGGACTGATGGCAGAGGCCGAAGAACAGTGGATAACAGAGCAAGGCGGAGTGCTGAGGAAGAAAGAATAACAGAGCAAAGCCGAGGGCTGAGGCTGAAGAAGATAGCATAACAGATCGGGGCAGAGGGCTGAGGCCAATGAATAGTGGATAACAGTGCAGGACTGATGGCAGAGGCCGAAGAACAGTGGATAACAGAGCAAGGCGGAGTGCTGAGGAAGAAAGAATAACAGAGCAAAGCAGAGGGGCTGAGGCTGAAGAAGATAGCATAACAGATCGGGGCAGAGGGCTGAGGCCAATGAATAGTGGATAACAGTGCAGGACTGATGGCAGAGGCCGAAGAACAGTGGATAACAGAGCAAGGCGGGGCTGAGGCTGAGGAAGAAAGAATAACAGAGCAAAGCCGAGGGCTGAGGCTGAAGAAGATAGCATAACAGATCGGGGCAGAGGGCTGAGGCCAATGAATAGTGGATAACAGTGCAGGACTGATGGCAGAGGCCGAAGAACAGTGGATAACAGAGCAAGGCGGAGTGCTGAGGAAGAAAAGAATAACAGAGCAAAGCGGAGGGCTGAGGCTGAAGAAGATAGCATAACAGATCAAAAGAGAGGGCTGAGGCCAATGAATAGTGGATAACAGTGCAGGACTGATGGCAGAGGCCGAAGAACAGTGGATAACAGAGCAAGGCGGGAGTGCTGAGGAAGAAAGAATAACAGAGCAAAGCTGAGGGCTGAGGCTGAAGAAGATAGCATAACAGATCGGGGCAGAGGGGCTGAGGCCAATGAATAGTGGATAACAGTGCAGGACTGATGGCAGAGGCCGAAGAACAGGGATAACAGAGCAAGGCGGAGTGCTGAGGAAGAAAGAATAACAGAGGAAAGCAGAGGGTTGAGGCTGAAGAAGATAGCATAACAGATCGGGGCAGAGGGCTGAGGCCAATGAATAGTGGATAACAGTGCAGGACTGATGGCAGAGGCCAAAGAACAGTGATAACAGAGCAAGGAGGCGGAGGAAGAAAGAATAACAGAGCAAAGCAGGGCTGAGGCTGAAGAAGAAAACAGATCGGGGCACAGGGGTTGAGGCAATATGGATAGAGGAGGCCGAAGAACTGAGAGCAAGGCGGAGGCTGAGGAAGAAAGAATAACAGAAGAAGGGCTGAAGAAGAAAGAATAACACATCAGAGCAGAGGGCAATGAGTGGATAAAGTGCAGAAAAAAGAGCCGAAGAACAGTGGATAACAGAGGGCTGAGGCTGAAGAAGAAAAGATAACAGAGCAGGGCAGAGGGTGGAGGCTGAAGAAGAAAGATAACAGAGCAGGGCAGAGGGTTGAGACTGAAGAATAAAATAAAAGAAAGGCAGATGGGATACAGAGAGGCTGAAAAAAGAAAGAAAAACAGAGCAGAGCAGAGGGCTGAGGCTGAAGAAGAAAAATACCAGAGCAGAGCAGAGGGTTGAGGCTGCATAAGAAACAATAACAGAGCAGAGCAAAGGGCTAAGGCTGAAAAGAAAGAAAAACAGAGCAAAGGAGAGGGCTGAGGTTGAAGAAGAAAGAATAACAGAGCAGAGCAGATCAGAGGGCTGAGGATTAAGAAGAAAAAATAAAGAGCAGATCAGAGGGTTGTGGCTGAAGAAGTAAGAATAACAGAGCAGAGCAGTGGGCTGAGGCTGAAGAAGAAAGAATAACAGCAGAGCTGAGAGCTGAGGCTGAAAAAGAAAGAATAAGAGAGCAGATCAGAGGGTTGAGGCTGAAGAAGAAAGAATAACAGAGCAGAGCACAGGGTTGTGACTGAAGAAGAAAGAATAAGAAAGAGCAGAGTGATGAGGCTGAATAAGAAAAGATAACAGAGCAAGGCAGAGTGCTGAGGCTGAAGAAGTAAGGATAATAGAGCAGGACTGATGGCAGAGACAGAAGAATTTTGGATAACAGAGCAGGGCAGAGTGCTGAGGCTAACAAAGGAAAGGTTAACAGAGCAGGGAAGAGGTCTGAGGCTGAAGAAGAAAGGATAACAGAACAGGGCAGAGGGCTGAGGCTGAAGAAGAAAGGATAACAGAGCAGGCAGAGTGCAGAGGCTGAAGAAGAAAGGATAACAGAGCAGGGCAGAGGGCTGAGGCTGAAGAGGAAAGAATAACAGAGCAGAGCAGAGGACTGAGCCTGAAGATGAAATGATAATAGAGCAGCGCAGAGGGCTGAGGCTGAAGAAGAAATGATAACAGAGCAGGGCAGAGGGCTGAGGCAGAAAAATAGTGGATAACAGAGCAGAGCAGAATGCTGAGGCTGAAGAAGTAAGGATAACAGTGTAGGGCAGAGTGCTGAGGCTGAAGAAGAAAGAAGAATACAGCAGGTCAGAGTGCTGAGGCTGAAGAAGAAAAGATAACTGAGTAGGGCAGACTGCTGAGGCTGAAAAAGAAAAAAAATAACAGTGTAGGGCAGAATGCTGATGCTGAAAAAGAAAAGATAACAGAGTAAGACAGAGTGCTGAGGCTGAAAAAGATAGAATAACAGTGCCGGGCAGAGTTCTGAGTCTGAAGAAGAATGTATAACAGAACAGGGCAGATTGCCGAGGCAGAATTATAATGGATAACCGAGCACAGCAGAGGACTGAGGCTGAAGACGAAAGGATAACAGAGCAGAACTGATGGCAGAGTCAGTGAATACACCTGTTCAGGCAGATTTCTGTCTGCTTTTAATTAATCAATACTGAGCGGTCCTTAGATAGTTTTTCTGTGGTGGGGGAGAGTGAAATAGATAGTGTGAGAGTCTAAATAAGGCCAGTACACTCACGCCCTCAACCACTTGTGACTTTGTACTCTTAAATATTTCTGTTTCCTCAATTTGATGCATGTTTGGGTCAACATGTGGTTGGGTTTTCAGGCACTTTCTAACGATATTTAAGCAAAATAATTCTCTTTCCCTCAAATTGTCTTGTAATGGACGCGTAAACAAAGCAATTAATAAAGAATTAATGTATTTATTTTTTTCTCCTTCTTTTATTATTTCTGTTATGGTCCGGTTCCTTGTATCACGGTCATTATTCAAGGTAGAACCAATAAAGAAGAACTCGAACGCGTATATGGAATAACACAGATATATTACAAACAGGAATATATACAGAGAAGTAGAAAGTGTTAGTACGAACAATCAGGTTTAGTAGTAATTGTCTGAACGCGAATATTAGTGGTAAATATACACATACATATGCAAAATATATAAATATATATACATAGGTGCATGCACATACATGTATATTTTTTGAAAAGCGCTCAGTATCAGAGATAGAGCTAACATGTTGAACCAGATGTATGTATATGTGTATATGTGTATATATATGTATGTGTGTGTATGTATGTGTATGTGTATATTTGTGTTGATATATTTATGTGTGTGTACATGGGTATATGTATGTGTTTATGTGGGTACACGCCTATGTGTACGTATATACGTGTATATGTTATTGAGTATGTGTGTATTCGCATGTGTTTTTGAACATAAAAATATAGGTCCTTGGTAGATTAGATAATCGTTATATTCATTTTTTATATGTTTATATTTGATTTGTAACCTGTCAAATTTTCTCAGTTACACAGCTGCCCTTTCAGTAAATGTCCTTCAATTTTACTTTCCTTCGTCCCATCTCTCTCCCCCACCTCTTCTTTTCTTTCCTCTCCCTCACTCTTATTCTGATCGTCTATGGTGTGTGTATGTCACCATGAAATGTATCTTTATGTATTAGACATCCGATAACATTCATATTTCTATTACTTAAAACACCTTCCACCACCTCTCCCAAAAATTCTCTCTGTTTCTATTACCCCCCTTTAAACCTTCGTCCCACCTCTCCTAAAAATTCCGTTTTTATTTCCGGAGTGTTTAATTTGTAGGTCTGATGAATTGATTGTATTTATATTCCATAATAAATATATATATATATATATATATATATATATATATATGTGTGTGTGTGTGTGTGTGTGTGTGTGTGTGTGCTAGGAATTTTGTAATATAATTGATTTGATGTATCATAATTAGATGACTGAGGACTTAATTCAGTTTATTTTTTTTTAAATGTCACCCCAACACGAACTTTCTAAAGTCATATATAAGTAAAGGGCGCTCCAATAACTTGGACAGATTTTAAATGTGAACTAAGTTTAAGCGTCTAATGATTTTTTTTTCTTTTTCTTTCAGATTTCGCGGACATTTGGGTGATATTATTTTTCACGCATAATTGCCATGACTTAAATAACATGATCCAATAGAGAAATAAATACATTTGACCAATAACACTGATTTATTTAATGCTGACTTTGATCCGTCTTAATGAAACACCCTTATATATAACTCGTCTTTATGAAACAGCTTTAGTATAAATTTCTGGAGCCTCCTGTAGATTTATGGAACCTTCTAGAACTTTATGGAACATTCACGAAATTTCGGGAGCCTTCTAGAAATTTCTGGAAATGTAAGACGAATCATTTAGATAAGGCAAATGAGAAAAGAATATTTATGATTTTCTAAGCATAGCTTAGATAAGGCACATGGCCAAAATTTTGGGACACTCAGTGAGGATAGAACTCACTACTCGGTTGCA